AGTAGTTAGTAAGAACCAGAGAGGAAGCCCCAGCTGTGGTGTCTGGATACTAATCGAAATAAAGCGACCAGGAACTGCAGGGTACACTTGACACAGAACCAGAGGGGCTTTGTGAACAGCTCTGCTCTGACCCTCCAGCGACTCCCACCTCGAGCAAAGCCACAGCCTATGTGGTGATTCAGGAGGCCTCACCCAATTTATTGGATTTATCATCTCTCTTAGCCTGTAGATTGGAAGCTCCAGGAGGGCAGAGGGTTTTGGACAAAATAGTAAAATAGTTGTGTCCCCTTCTCCCCATCTGTGACATGGATATAACCAATCTCACTTTACAGAAGGGGTTGCAGGAAAGTATTTTTGCCTGAGGTTTCACAATTCTTGAGCGGCAGAGTCTACCATGTTGGACTCAGAGCTTGACATCCAGCCGACAAATTCTCAGAAACTTGGGATGTCTGAGAGACAGCCAGGCCTGGGGAAGCCCAAGTGGGTTTCCTGGAAGGGAGGTGCTGGAGCAAAGACAGCTGACATCTCCCAGGCCTGCACTGAAGGAGGCTGGCCTAGAAGTGGCAGGAGTCCCTGGTCTTCTGTCCTTCCCTGTCATTCTTAGTGGGTTTCTCTCAGTTCCCTCTGGTGGCATGGCTTCCCAGTCCCTCCCTGATCCTACTCACACATTCTGGCTTCTACTCAAGCAGGTGGGGTGCCTCTTACCACATACTCATTCTGGGATGTGTTGCCCCAGCCACAGGAAGTGGGGGGCAGGGGTCATCTTACTGTTGGGAGGGAGATACCTGAACTCATGGCCTCTAGGCGGCCAAGTCTCCTTGTGCCTCAAGAGTCCCTGCTTCCCCAAGGGGAACTGAGATTGATTTCATGGGGCCAGGCAGAGCCTCACTTCCCTTTTGCTGTCCTTGTACCCACAAGATAGTTCCGGGAGGCTGGGGGACCTATCGTACTTGGAAGAGCCAGAGTTCTGTTCATTGCCCTTCCTTCCTCCCCATGTGTGTCTCTGGCCCAGAGTAGTTCTTGGCTCAGAATCTCATTTAAGGAAGACTGGACCCCAATGGGGCAGGGCCCCTGCATAGCCCATCTACTCCTGGAGCCTCCCCCCAGTGCTGTGAGCCCAGAAATGTCATCTCCCTTTTAGAGACCAGGGGATGAGTAGCGTAACTAAAATGCAGCAGAGCCAGATGCAAGCTTAAGGGCAGCACTCTTTTACACACCACCCCTTGCCACCCTCTTCCCTTTTAAGAGTTTACCATGTGCCTTCATTTTGTAACTTATAAACAACTTTTGTCTTTCAAGACTTAAATTATAATTGGTGACTGTTTTTCCCCTTGTCCAAGAAAAAGGAAGAATTTAGCCCTTGATTAAAATATCAGCAATGAGTGGGCACTGGTGGCTCACACCTGTAATCCTAGCTATTGGGAGGCAGATATCTGGAAGATTGTGGTTAGAGGCCAGCCTGGGCAAACAGTTTGTGAGACTCTATGTTGAAAACACCCAACACAAAAAAAAGAGCAGGTGGAGTGGCTCAAGTGGTAGAGTGCCTGCCTAGCAAGTATGAAGCCCTGAGTTCAAACCCCAGTACAGAAAACAAACAAACAAACAAACAAAAAACCCACCACCAACAAAACCACACACCAAAACACATAGCAGAGAAGAGGCTGGCCTCACCTACAAGTCTTCCACTGTTACGTTATTGCCATAGACCTTCTGAGTTGGTTTTCTTCCTGACGCTTTCTTTCGACACCTGTAGCTACTGGTAAGTGTTATATTTATACATTCAAAACAATTAATATTTCCATCGCAGTCCTAGATTGCCCCAGGCTCCTGTTGCACCCCACCACCCCCTTCCATCATGGCTCTTTGTAGGTGTCTCATGGAATCTGAGGCTGCCTCCCAAGGGGTTGGTTGGTAGACATGACACATTCCTGCCTCTAAGCTGTACTCGTCCTGTACCCTCAGGCCACCACGTTTTTGGTACTATAAAAGTGTTTTTTAAAACCCATTCATGAGAAGATGTCCAAATGACAATCTGACCATTTCGATACTCAACTGCACCTCTACACCTGAGTCCTTACAACTTGCAACCTGTGCAAGTTAGGGGTCACCCTGTCCCCCTGGCTACAGCTAAGAGCCGCAGAATCTGATTGTTGAACTCTGAGGCAACAGCTTTATTTTCCAAAGGCTCTTCTTCAGGCTTCATTGGTTGGGAAGGTCACAAACTCTCTCTTGCCTGGAAAACTCAGCAGTGAACATCCTTCCAAGATCCTTTTTTTTTTTTGAGACAAAGTCTCACTATGAGCCCAGGCTGGCCTCAAATCTGAGATTCTCCTGGCTCAGCCTTCCAAGGAATGGGTTTACAGGCAGTCATTGTCATGCCCCTGCTGACTCTTGTTGAAATTCGAAGACCCTAAAGGGAGAGGGCTGGGTGCAGACGCCTAGGTCTTGTGGTCCTTCGAACTGTGTGGCGGGGCCATTTGCCAATAAAAGAAGGCTCTTCCTGACTGCTGTTCCAGATATATTTTCTGTCAACATAGAATATTTTTCTATTAATCACAATTTACCTCCAATAAAGATTATCATTTTGTTTTAAAGGAAGAAGTAAGCCTGGCATGATGACACACTCCTGTAATCCCAGCACTTGGGAGGCTGAAGCAGGAGGATGGAAAGTTCCAGACCAGTTTGGGCTACATGATGATACCCCATCTCTTAAAAAAAAAAAAAAAAAAGAAACAAAGAAAGATAGGAAGGAAGGAAGGAAGATAAAACAATTGAGCCAGCTACACTTTTATTTATTTAATTTGTCTCCTCTCAATATGCAGGCTGACCTCAAACTCATGCATGAACCTCCCCAGTGCAAGGATTACAGGAGTGTGCCACCATGCCCACCTCCATCCACAGTTCACATTTTTAAAATATGCAACAGAAGGGCTGGGGATGTAGTTCAGTGGTATAACACTTGCCTAACTTGCTCAAGGACCTGAGTTCAACCCCCAGCACCAAAACAATAACAACAAAACAAACAAGCAAACAAAACAAAACAAAAACCCAACAGAGTCGGGAGGGTATGACTCAGTGACAGAGTGCTTGCCTAGCACAGGAGGCCCTGGGTTCCTAGAAAAAAAGTAGTGACATACTCAGGAGATACAAATAATACATATACTTATTTCTGTTTTGTATTAGGGCAACAAGTGGGGAGGAGATACAGAGGAGAAATAAAGACAACAAAGCAGTCATTTCACTCATTAAAGACCAATCCAGGTATTCCTAGACAGACAGCAGAGGGAGAGGAGGAAGTCAAAATTCTGATTCAATTAACCAATATTGCTATATTTGTTAAAACTACAAGATTCTAAAATTTAAAGGGTAAATAGTCATATCTGAATTTATACATTTTATTTATCTACAATTAAACAACTTGCAACTTTTCTTCATTAAAAATATTGGAGCTGGCAGATGGCTCAAGTGGTAGAGAGCCTGCCTAGCAAGTCTGAGGCCCTGTGTTCAAACCCCAGTACCCCAGTATTTTTGGATTGGCATGATGGTGCGTGTCTGTAGTTCCAGCTACTTGAGAGGTGGAGATTTGAGTCCAGCAAGGGCACAAAAGTTACCCCCATCTCAAAAAACAAGCTGGGGGTGGTGGGCCATGCCTATAATTCGATATACCTCCTGGGAGGCTGAAGTAGGAGGATCCAAGTCTTTGAGAACAGATCGCTGAGAGCCTACCTGAAAAGTAAAACTAAAAGCAAAAAAGGCGGGGGGCATGGCTCCAGTGCCTAGCAAAATTCCAAAAAGGGAAGGAGGGAGGAAGGAGGAAGGGAAGAAGGGAGAGAGGGAGGAAGGAAGGGAGGGAGGGAGGGAGGGAGGAAGGGAAGGAAGGAAGGAAGGAAGGAAGGAAGGAAGGAAGGAAGGAAGGAAGGAAGGAAGGAAGGAAGGAAGGAAGGAAGGAAGGAAGGAAGGAAGGAAGGAAGGAAGGAAGGAGAGAGAGAAATCTTAAATTAAGCTGGGATGGTGATGGTGATGCACTCTTGATCCCAGCTCCTCCGGAGGCTGAGGCAGGAGGATCACTTGAGTTGGATCGCTCAGGCGTTGAAGAACTCCTGGGCGACATGGTAGGGCTCCAGCTCAGGTAAGGAACAAAAAACTAATCTAAAAATTACAATATGGCTGGGGATGTACTCAGTGATAGAGCACTTGCCTAGCACTCACGGTCCTGGGTTCCATCTTCAGTAATTAATAAATTAATAAAAATAAAATTATACAAAAATGGACAATGAAAAGACAGGAGTGGCCCATGAGTAAGCTGATTCGTGTGGAAACCAGGCATTAAGATCGCAGGTAGAAACAGGGCAAACCCCATCTAGAAGGAGAAGTCAGGGTAGACTTCCCAGAGAAGGTGATGTTGCAGACAAAGAACATTTGAAGAGGGGGAGTTGGAGTTACCAAGCAAAAAAATGCTCCAGAAGGAGCAGGATGTGAGAAGACTGAGGTCTATTCATTCATTCATTCATTCATTCATTATGGCGAACCCATGGTCCCGGTAGAGGGGAAAGAGGAGCCAGGACTGGCGACTACACGCTGACTCTGAGAGCACGGGACCCTGGAGGGGTTGGGGTGAGGCAGGTGAAGGGACCGAGGATGAGGAAGGGACGATGGCCCGCGGACCCCGGCCTGCAGGCACGTGAAGGAGGAAGAAGTGTGCGGGAGGGCCTGGCTGCCAGTGGCCTCGGGGACGCCTGGGTGAGGGTGCGGGCTGGGGAAGCCCCGGGGGCGGGGGACAGTTGTCAGTTGACAGCTTTGCGGCTCCAGATCCAGGAGTCCAGTGGTCGGCCCAGGGCCCTGCGCTTTCCCCGGAAGCCCGGGTACGCGGTCTCGGGGTCAGTGCGGGGCCCGGGGTGGCTCCGCGGGGCGGGGCGGGGTGGGGCGTCGCCGAACACCGAGGCTGGCGGCGGCGACCCGGGGCGGGGGCGGCGCGATGCGGAAGTGCCGGGCCGGCTCGGCGCCCCGCGGGACGCGCAGCTGCGGGAGGGCGCAGCTCGGCCCCGCCGCCCGGCCGGAGCTCGGGGCGCAGCCGCTCGGGCGCCCCGCAGGCAGGTAGGTCCCGGCCACCGGAGGGAGGTGGGAGCCGCACCCCGCTTCCGCCAGCTTACCTCCCCGGGGCACCTGCCGGGAGAGCAGATGGGGTGCGCGTCCAGTGCGCCTGGTGACCAGACTCGGGCCCACCGCAGGGCGTACGCCTGTAAGGTGCGATCAGCTTGGGGTGCTGGGCACCGGCCGCCATCGCCCCGCAGGCGCACGCCGCGGAGTGGGCACCGCGCGGGCCGCCAAGTCTGTCGCTTCTCTCCCTCCGCCTCCCCATCACCGAGGACCAGGAGCGCCCCGCGCAGGCAGGAGTCTCACTAGGGCCATCGAGAAGCGAGGCCCTGTCCCCTCCTTTCGGGGCGCTACGCATCCTTCCTTCCCGGGGCACCCTTCACCCTTTCGGGTAAGAGGTTTAGGTTTCAAGCAGTCACTCTCCCAGAGATCTTAAGGTCAATGACGGAAACTTGCGCGACTTGAGTTTGAGGGACAGGCAGGTCCTTTGACTAGTGGCCCAGAAACGCGGACGCTCCCAGCTGCCGAGAAGAATCGGGGCGCAATACTTGGGCTAGTTTCTTTTCTGCCTACCCCTGAACTTAAGAAGGAAACTTAAGACGGAAACACTGAAGAATCTAGAAGTGGAGGAAAAGTGAGACTAGTGTGGCCGCAACGCGGGGGAGGACATAGCGAAGGCCTTTGCCCACCCCCTCCTCCCCCCCGCACAGGTGTCTTTCGGACCCCGGAGGGCCGGGAGCGGAGGTGGGACTGGGGACTTTCCTGGTCTCAGACTGGCACAGCGGGGAGGGGTAAAGGGCAGGGGCGCCAGCAGCCGGAGGAGCCATGGGGGACAAACCCTAAGCCGGTGCCCCGGGCTGGCTCTGCGGGCTGGCCCAAGGGGATGGGCCTCCTGCTCCGGGAGGAGCCTGCGGGGGGTGGCCGCGCCGACCCGGCTTGGTCTGGGCTCCAGAGCGTGGATAAGTGGACAAGGCTAGAAAGGGTGTGGGCTGAGCAGATAGAAGCTGGAGGCCCTCAAGTGGAGACCACGGGGCCAGACACAGAATCCCTGTCACCGCCCCTTAGGCTCCCCGCTGGAGACTAGAGAAGTGGTGGGAAATCACCCCTTTTTACTTAATGACCCTAATTTGGGATTTTCCCCTGTACTCTGTCTTTCCTCCACCTTGCCCCGGAGGGAGATGAGAGAGGCTTTTTTCTGCAGCACCTGCTGCCCCAGAGTCTCAACCTGTCTGCGCTTCAAGGAGGACAGGGCCAAGGGTGCATCAGCTCATCTGGAGAGGAGGAATTCAGGGTCACACCCGGTGCAGGGAACCCCTTGCCTTCTCCCCTGTGCTGGATGTGGGGTTTGCAGGGAGACCAAGTGAACCAAACAGCCCAGGAGGTAGCAGGAGGCTGAGGCTCTGCCTCTACTACTTCCACTACTGCATCTTTCTCCCCAAGCACAATGTGCTGCTCTTGGTGTTCCAGCGGTTTAGGTGGCCTCTCCTGGGACTTCAGCAGCAAGGCCCTTGGGTGGGGGAGTGAGGTCTTCCCACCCCAGCAGGAGCTCCTGGGCTGCCCCCTCTGGATGCTTCAATGCCTGACCCACTTGTGGGGGTTTCCTCAGCAACCCACACCCCTTTTGACTTTTCCCTGGAAGGTGACAGAAAGCACTGTTAGTTTTCCAGGGTTCAAATCCACAAACCTATGTCTGGGGGCTGCATACATTTCACCCCCAGCTTCCAGATCCCAGAGAAGGCAGACACTGAAATTCAGAACTTTCAGACATGGGTTGGTCTGAATCAAATCTAAGCCCACTTTTGAGCAGGAAGAAACTTCTCTGGTCCTGCTTAGGGGAAGGACTTCGTAGGCCTGTTGTGCATGGAGCCCCTTGAGGCTCAAGACCCTTCTGTAGCTTGGTGGTCAGACTCTCCTGGCAGTGGGCTTAGTATTGGGGCTTTTCCAAACCCTGTCCCTAGGCCACCTGAAGGGATGGCAACTTTCTAACACTGAAGCCAGAATAATAATTTCAAAACCTTGCTCTGAATTAAACAGCAGCATTGGGCAGGGCCACATAGCTGAACTGGTCCATGGCTCCTTTGCCCTGAAGTAGGGAGCAGAGGAGTAGGCCTTTCTGGTCTCCCCAGCTACCCCACCCCAGGCCAGCTGCGGGCCTGACCATGTATGCGTCATCGGGTAAATTACCCACCCTTATGTCGCCAGAACTTCCTACTGTCTACCCTCATGTAGCCAAAATTACTTGCTGCTGGTCACTGTCAGCCCCCCATTGTATGATCAAGGCCTCTCGGAGGCTACAAATATGAACATGGGTGACTGAGGCTAACAGATGTGAGCCACGCCAAATGTGTCTTGATTGCCAGGCTTGGGAGGTGGGGAATGACCTAGGGAGTGGAAGGTTGGAAATGTGGTCTTGGGAACCCACTTACAATTTTCTCTGAGTCCCCTCCCTCCTTCCGTCAGTGCACAGTGAGTCAGGTTACTGAGTTGTCCCATCAGGCCACTTTCATTTCCCCTGGGGCAGGGTGGAGGCTGGTGTAGAAAGAGGAACTGAACCACAGGCTCCTTAGGCCTGGGGGCAGGGATAGAAGCCTTCCCACCCTCTGTGAGGCTGGCCTTACATGGGTCCCTAGCAGCTGAGCTGGGCACTCCTCTAAAACCTGCAGAGGGACACTCCAAGGTGGTACTAGGTGGAGAATTTCATGGGAAACTGAGGCTCCGTGATGCAAGACCCAAGCAAGCCTGCTCAACCCTTTGTTCTTTGCTGAGCAACAGGTTCCAATCTGAGGACCACATGGTATGATGGCTCCATCCTTTGTGTCTCTGACCATGTAGTCACAGAGTTAAGGGTCAAGAGCAAGGGGGGAAGGGAAACTGCCCAGGGATGAAGAGGGGTGGGGAGGGGGCAGCAGACTATGAGAGAGTCAGGTTCTGGTTCTGGAGAGGGGATGGGCAGGTGGAAGGGAGGGCACAAGGGCTTCATGTGTCTTGCTGGCCTGACTCTAGTGAAGCAGAGACAGTGGTCTGGGGAGGGGACTCCCCTTGGGGAGCTCTTAGACCTTGGCTCGGTACTTCCTGTATGCTGAATGAATGTGGGAACAGGGGCAGGAACAAGAAATAGGGATATATACTGGACTGGAGGTGTGGCCCAAGCAGTAGAGTTCCTGCTTTCCAAGAGTGAAGCCTTGAGTTCAAACCCCAGTCCCACCAAAATAAGTAAATAAATAAATGAAGGGATACTGATGACTTTAGAGGGTAAAATTAAGCTTGGTGGCCACTATCCTTGCAGGAGGCAGATTGAGTGGGTTGATAGGATTTCTCTAAAGAGGTCAAGCCTTCATCCCTGAGGGAAGCTGAGGAAGAACAGAGGCCCTGAGAACTGGTTATGGAAACCCACCAGTTCTACTTTTGTCTAAGGCCAGGTTTTCTAGAAGCCTGAGATAGGATTCTTATTTAGAGGACTTGCTGAGGGGTTTCCAGGGGAAAGAGGGAGAACCCAGGGAGGGAAAGCTGAGCAGGAATGGGATGAATCAGCTGATCTCACAGGAGCATTTATTGTACTTTAATTTGAGGGAGCCAGGTTTTTGTTCCAGGTGTGAAGCAGTCACTGGCCATGGGCTGTCCATCCTGAGTGTTGGTGGCCTAACCTGTGAAGTGAGGCACTAGGAGTGATCTCTGGCAAAGGGGCAGCCAGGTTCTGTTAGCAGTTAGAGAATGGATGCCCAGGCCTGGTAAAGGGCACCTGGGGACAGTGCCTGAGCATCCACTAGCAAAGAGCTCTCCCACTCTCTGTCACAAAGCACTCATTGGGTGACTCTGTGACAAGAAAGTTGAGAGTTGGAAAGGACACTTGACTCTGAACACCTGGATGGATGGAGAGACTGTTGACACCTCAAGGCCCTTCTGCCAAGGGCAAGGGAGTGTTTCACTGTGAATCTGCTGAGTTATGCCTTCCTTTCTCCTGCAGAGCCCTTTACCATGAACCAGCCGGCCCCTGGGGCTCCCCCGCCACCCCGCCGTGTGCGGCTGAAGCCCTGGCTGGTGGCCCAAGTGAACAGCTGTCAGTATCCAGGGCTTCAGTGGGTCAATGGGGAAAGAAAATTCTTCTATATCCTTGGCGCCATGCTACACGGCACGGCCCCAGCCAGGACGGAGACAACACCATTTTCAAGGTAAGCCCTGGATGGGCTGCTGCCTGGACTCCGTGTGTCTTGGTACTCCCTTCCCAGAGAGGGACACAAATGCCTACACATCACCTGGTGGCTGCCCACTCTCTTAGCTATCCTGCTCAGGGACACCAGCCTAATCTAAGGGGACACAGGCATAGCCACCAGGCTCCCCTTTTCTAGCGTGTAGCCCAGAGGTGAGGACTGAAGGTCCCTGGGAGACTTTCTGGTAGCTCCTTCTACCCACCCCTCACTCTTGCCTCACTCCTGTTGCATAGGAGCCCACGTTCAGTACACACATACCCTAAATGAAGCCACCAATTCTCTCTGAATCTTAATGCTGAGCAGGATCCACTACCATAGCTTTTCAGTATTACAGTACAAAATGTAACTGCTACCAGGTGCTGGTGGCTCACACCTGTAATCCTAGCTACTCAGGAGGCGAAAATCAGAAGGATTGTGGCTCAAAGCCAGCCTTGGGCAAATAGTTCGGGAAACTCTATCTTGAAAATACCTAACACAGAAAATGGTTGGTGGAATGGCTCAAGTGGTACAGTGCCCATCTAGAAAGCATGAAGCCCTGAGTTCATGCTTTTGAGTACCCTCAAAAACAAAATATAATTCCTAGTATTTTCAGTTTTCTGCATGCATATGTGAAGTGCAAAATCAGAACCAAGCAACATTCTCTGTTTTCTAACCTTTATTTTTTTTTCACCCTTACATCAGGATTGTCTTTCCCTTCCAGCGTATGTCCATATCACTTTTAGTGACTGTTGAATATTCCACTTGAAGAATTTAGCACAATTCAGTCACCCAGTCCTGGGTTTTGGGCACTTTAGGTTGCTTTTAGTGTTTCAATGTTAACCACATTACCAGGCTGGAGGTGTGGCTTTAGCAGTTGAGCGCCCGCCTAGCAAGTGCAAAGTCCTGATTTCAAACCCCAGTACCCTCAAAAACAAAACAAAAACCACACACAGTAGCAAGAATCCCCATATTACCATGTAGGTCTCCTAACCTTTACCTTTTGTCTTGTTTTGGGGCGGGGGACTGGGGCTTGAGCTCAGGGCCTCATGCTTGCTAGGCAGGCATTCATACCACTTGAGCCACTCCACCAATCCTTTATTTGTTTTAAATGAGTTCCTTGAGGCTAGTACCGCAAGTTAAAAATTGCTGGCCCGTTGCATCTCAGCCCTTTTACCTAAGATCAAATGTAAAAATTGCTGGGTCAAAGAGAATGCTTCTAGTAAGAATGCTTCTAGCAAATTCCAGTACCACCAGAGAGAGAGAAAGAATGCTTATTTTTTAAAACTTTGGATACATATTTCTTAGTCTGTACTCGGTCCTTACCTTTTAAAATTTCTTATTCAAATCTATTTCTTATTTTTAAAGTAGATAACATAAGGTTTCAAAATTTTTAAAATATAAAATGGTCTATAGCGAAAAGTCTCCCACACTGCCTTATGGAGTGACTAAAGTGGTAGAGCACCTGCCTAGAAGGTGGGAGGCCCTAAGTTCAACACCCCAGTGCCACCACCACCAAAAAAAACCAAAGGCTCCCACCCCTGTCCAGAGCTATCGGCTCCTCCCTAGAGGCAAAAGTACTACCAGGTTCCTACTTATCCTTCCTGTGAGATTTCTGAGCATGCAGAAATAAGCAAATACCAATCTTCCTTCCCCCACTTTTCACAAGAATGCTAGAGATATAATACTCTGCATTTCACATTTCTTGAAGATCACATGTCAGTATAGGAAAATACTTTATTTTTTCCTGCACATTCTGTGAGTTAGCCATAATTTAACCAGCTCCTCATTGATGGACATTGGATATTTCAGATCTTTTGTTTTTTATAAATAATACTGCAATGGATATCCTTGTGTATGCAAAATTTTATAATTCTATAGAAATCTAGTTTAAAGGGTAGAACATTTGTAACCCTGACCTCCAAAATAATAACGCCAGTTGGGGATGTGACTCAGTGGTAGAGTGCATGCTTAACAAACGCAAGGTTCTGCATTCCATCCGAAGCACCACAAAAAAGTTAATAATACCAACAGCTGGCACAGGCACAGCTCTGAGCGCCTTATGGGCATTGACCCCAAGTCTTCACTGCCACTCATTGAACAGGTACCATGAGGAGGAGGCTGAGGCAAAGAAAGGCAGAGAGACACGGCCAGCATGCAGCTGCACATTGCGGCTTCAATCATGTGCCCTTATCCATCACGTTCCATTGTCCTCCTTAGAGACAGTACCTCTTTGACCTCCCAGGGGCACTGACTGGATGACTCATGTTGATTTCATTGAGCTTGTTAGAATCTGAGCACTGGAGAAGTCCAGTCATACATATGCTGATGCAGACAAGGCCTCAAGCTGAGCAAGACTCTCCCTATGGCTGAAGGTGTCAGCAGTGACTCCTGTAAGACTGGAGGCTGGCTGGAGTCTTGGTGATGGGCGAGGTTCTCTGTGATCTCTCTCTCTCTCTGTCTCTGTCTCTCTCTCTCTTTTTATGGTACTGGGGTTTGAACTCAGAGCCTACACCTTGAGCCACTCCACCAGCCCTTTTTTGTGAAGGTTTTTTCTGAGATAGGGTCTTGCAGACTATTTGCCCTGACTGGCTTCGAACCGTGATCCTCCTGACCTGTGCCTCCCGAGTAACTAGGATTATAGGTGTGAGCCACTGGCACCTGGCTGCTCTGTGATCTCTTGATCTCTGTGATCAGCTGTCCTCTCTTCCTGCCCAAGGCCTGGGCCAAGGAGACGGGGAAATATACCGAGGGAGTGGATGAGGCTGATCCGGCCAAGTGGAAGGCCAACTTGCGTTGCGCCCTTAATAAGAGCCGCGACTTCCGACTCTTCTATGATGGGCCCAGGGACATGCCACCTCAGCCCTACAAGATCTACGAGGTCTGCTCCAATGGCCCTGCTCCCACAGGTATCATGCCTGGCCCTGTGTGAACACCTGAGAGGCTATGCTATGACATCCTGGGTTCAGGAAGGGCCAGGGCTCCTCCGGCATGTGGTGGTCCAGCTCATGCTCCCAGGGTTCCCGGGAGTAGCTGGGAATGAGATCAGGGCCCCAGATGCTTTCTCACTACTGCCCTTATACTATGCTCTTGGCTTCAGGGGAGGTCCCTTCTGCTTCCTAGTGGTGGAACCCTTCACTTCACCCTATGTTTGGGCAGCTTGAAGGAGGATAGAGCCCCAACTAGAGTTTTGGGCAAGCTTTTGGGCTGCCTAGATGGAGCCTTAGGCTGGCCTGGCTCCTGCTTTGCCACTAACTCCCTCCTGTCCTGTTTTTCTCTCCCTTGCAGAGTCCCAGCCAGTTGAGATTATACTGTAGGTACAGGAGAGGAGGAAGAGGAGGAAGAGGAAGAGGTACTTGGGGCAGGACAGTGGGCGGGGTCTATTCTCATCTGAGCTGCATGCATTGGCCAGTGAGATGCCAGACCTGGTGAGGTCTACCGCCCCCCCTGCTTTAGGGTGAACAGTCTCTTCCCTCTGGAGCCTGCTGTCCTAAGTAGTAGCTCTTCTCTGGGTTGTCCCAGAGATAGGAACAAAGTGCCCACCTTGTCCCTCCCCATGGCTTTGTTGTTACAGCACGTCACACATTGGGCCATTGGGGCTTGGTGGATACTGCTGTCTGAAGAGGCACTGAGGGCATTCATGACCTGCTGGGATGGAAGGCAGGGTTTGACCTCACTGAGCTCAAGCTGCAGGAATTGCCTTGTGCTATTTCCTCTGTGTCAGATCAATTTAATAACCTGTCCTCCTTACCTGTGTCTTCCCTTCAGCTCCAGAGGATGTTACCTGGCCTGAGCATCACAGGTGGGGCAGGGAAGTGGTGTGGTTGGGGGTCTAGCATAAAGAGAAGTGACAGGTACCATAGGTACCCAGAGAGGGCAAAGGGAAGGCTGAGGGGGAGGCAGGTCTGGGAGTTGGTGGGTCTGGGAGGCAGTTGCTAAAGGTGGCACTAATAGCTGTGTCCACCCCACCCTCTGTAGAAGCAGTGGGGCCTGGTCCCCCCATGGCACCTTATTCTTTACCCAAAGAAGATGTCAAATGGCCACCTGCTCTCCAGCCACCTGTGGGGATTGGTCCTCCTGTCTCAGACCCCAGTCTCCTGGTCCCTCCCCATGGCACCTCTGCTGACTTTGGGCAGCTTCCTCCTGAGGTCTTGGAGCCTGAGCCCCTGGGTAACAGCCTGTCTGCTGTGGGCGAACAACTCCTGCCCGACCTGCTGATCAGCCCCCACATGCTGCCCTGTAAGGACCTTGGTGGGCTGGGTGGACTGGCAGGATAAAGCAGTGCTGGAGGTTGAGGGCAGGGTTTCAAGACAGGCAGAGAATGGTGGAAAACAAGCTTTCCCGCCAGTCTCCCCTGGATGAGAGAGAGTGGGAGACTGACGAGGCTGGGCCTGCCAACTGTGCAGAACAGGAGTTACGGGTCTCAGGCCCACATGGCCTGCTTCTCTGCCCCACAGTGACTGACCTGGAGATCAAGTTCCAATACCGGGGACGGCCACCCCGGGCCCTCACCGTCAGCAACCCACATGGCTGTCGGCTCTTCTACAGCCAGCTGGAGGCCACCCAGGAGCAGGTGGAACTCTTTGGCCCTGTGAGCCTCGAGCAAGTGCGCTTCCCCAGCCCTGAGGACATCCCCAGTGACAAGCAGCGCTTCTACACGAACCAGCTGCTTGATGTCCTCGACCGCGGGCTCATCCTCCAGCTACAGGGCCAGGACCTGTATGCCATCCGCCTGTGCCAGTGCAAGGTGTTCTGGAGCGGGCCCTGCGCCTCAGCCCATGGCTCGTGCCCCAACCCCATCCAGCGAGAGGTCAAAACCAAGCTCTTCAGTCTGGAGCTATTTCTCAATGGTGAGCCCCATACTGTGCTTCTCCTGGCCACCTCTTGCCCAGGGCACAGTACTAGCTTCTGACAAGGGGACTTGATCTTGATGCAGAGCTCATCCTGTTCCAGAAGGGCCAGACCAACGCCCCCCCACCCTTCGAGATCTTCTTCTGCTTTGGGGAGGAGTGGCCTGACCACAAACCCCGGGAGAAGAAGCTTATTACTGTCCAGGTGCGCCCCCAGTCCCACTCTGCTGTGTGGCCTGGGTGGAGGTCGGGCCCTCTGAACAGGATAACGGGGCTTAGAGGAAGAAATCTACCACTTGCCCCTGGTGAATGCCCTCATGCATTGGCAGCTTGTCTCCTTGTCCTGTCTCCTCTTTGCCCTCCAGGTGGTGCCCGTTGCAGCTCGGTTGCTGCTGGAGATGTTCTCAGGGGAGCTTTCTTGGTCAGCTGACAGCATCCGGCTGCAGATCTCAAACCCAGACCTTAAAGACCACATGGTGGAACAGTTCAAAGAGCTCCATCATATCTGGCAGTCTCAGCAGCGGCTGCAGCCCCCTGTGGCCCTGGCCCCTCCTGTGGCAGGCCTTGCTGCTGGCCAGGGGCCCTGGCCTATGCACCCAGTTGGCATGCAATAACGAGGTCTAGGCATTCCTGGGTAGCAGTATGGACAGATATGGTAATGGGGTGGCCCCAGCAGGCCTGGCTGGCTACAGGTTGGCTCTGAGTTTCCTGGAAGTGGATTTGGACTGAGAACAGAGAAAAGAGGCCTAAATGGCAGGCTTTCCCTGAAAAATCTTTTCTTTGAGGGCTTTGTCTTTCTGGGCTTGCTCTGCTCTTCCTGCCTCTAGTGAAACTCAGTCAGCAGCCCCAGGGAGCAAGGAAGGAGGGGACCTAGTTACACAAGGCAAACTGCCCCAGGGTGGCCCACACTTACGGTTGCCCTATTTCCTCTAGCAAAGAGTCAAGGAGTGTTGTGGACCAGGTAGCCCACAGCAGGGCTTCTGCAGGGCATGGGCCTGATTGAGGGGTTCCTTAGTTTGTGCCTTGCTTCTTCATCTTTCTTCCTCCTGAGATGGATCTGAGCCTTTAGATATCAACAGACACTTAGGGCTGGCAGCTGCTCCCGCTCCCCTTCAGAGTTGTAGAACCTGAGATAGAAAGAATTTTATGTATTTTTTGAGTAATAAATGTTAAAAGTGGACTCAGTTGTTTCTTTACTTTTTCCAGGGAATCATTTCATTGATTTTTTTATTTTATTTTTACTGTTTTGACAGTGCTGGAGATCCAACCCAGGGCCTCACACACACAAAACAATGTACCACTGAGCTACATCTCCATTCTTGTTTTTTTTAATCTGCACAGGCCTCTTGACCATATAAAAAGCTGCCCAGCTTTGCTCGTAAGAAGAAATGGCACTAAGATTCTGTTTCATACCTATCAGGTTGGCAAAAATCCAACTGACAAAATGCTATGTTGGTGGGGCTGTGGAGGTTTTACCAGTGTCTAACAACAGCGCGTACTTATTTGTCCTCTCGCCCAAAACCTAAATCCAATCAAGCTTCTGGAAGCCAGAGTCTAGATCTAAACAACAATTTGTAGTAAGTGTAGGGGACAAAATATGTTAACAGAGATGCAATCAGAAACAATGCTGTTTCATCAAATTGGAAGGGAATAAAATTTCAGTTGTCTTAAATTTTATAAACACTCAAAATTTGCTAAAACTTTCTTCAGGGGCTGGGGATGTAGGTCAGTAGTAGAGTATATTTTTAGTATTCATGAGGACCTGGGTTCGATTCCCAGCACCACAAAAGATTATCTTTTAAAGACACATGCTGTATATTTATATATTAGTATTTGCTTAAAAATAATCTCAGGGTGGGAGTATGGATAGAGTTTAGATGGGAAAGGCTACGAATTGATAGTGGGTGAAACTGCTACAGGGGATTTCATATCATTCTCTCTGTTTTCATAAATGTTTAAAATCTTCCATAAATAAGGTAAGACAAGAGCAAACTGTTCAGGCCAGAAAATTACACAGAGCCCAATTCAAACAATGAGCTACAATTTGCAGGCAATGCCCTAATGTATTTAATAGCACATGAATATACATGAAGATAACATAATAATGATCCCAAATTTAGTTAGAATCCCAGTCATTTCCTTTTACCATTTCTTCATCCCCCTTTTTTGGGAGGGGGGGAGTGGGTTAGGACTGGGGTTTGAACTCAGGGCTTCAAGCTTGCAAAGCAGGTGCTCTACCACTTGAATCACCTGTCCTTTCTCAACATTTCTTATTGTAAAGTTGATTTAGACAGGTTTTAGACTGCACACATTTAAAATTCCACATTTGCATCAGCCTGCTTTTTCCTGGAAGCAAAACCAGCTGGGTGAATATGTGTGAAGGCCCAGCTGACTTGCTGCTGGAAGGCAGGCCCTCCTGAGTGGACCCAGCCAGAGGGCAGGTGCTGGGGAAGAAGGCCAGATGGCATATCAAAGGGTCTGGGACAGTGGCGTGGCTCAAGTGGCAGAGTGCCTGCCTAGGAAGTGCAAGGTTCTGAGATCAAACCCCAGTATGGGGAAAAAATGAAAAGGTCTGGTAGAACAGCATATAAAAATTTCCTAGCACTTGTGACGCTGAGGAAGGAGGATCCAAAGTTCAAGGACAGTCTGAACTACACAGTGAGGCACTGTCACTCACAAAAAAAGTATACTTTCAGATTCATGGAGAAGTTGCTAAGATAGGAAGAGTTCTTGTATTCCCATTTTCCCAATTGCTATTTTACATTACTATGGTATCACAACTAATGAAACAGTACGGATACATAATTATTAACTAAATACCATATTTGACTCAGATGTCGTTAGTTTTTAACAACCTTTATTTGTTCCAGGGATCTCATCCAAGATAATACATTTCTTAATACATCTCCTTCACCTCTTCTGGTCTGGTAATTTCAACATCAATTTTTGCTATTGATGGTTCTGGGTACTCATCAGGCATTTTCCAGAATCTCCCTCAATTTTAGTTTATTTGATGTGTTCTTCATTGTTTTTTTTTTTTTAAGGAGGACCACATAGGTGAAGTGCCACTCATGCTTTATCAATCGAGAGTACACATAGGCTGGTGGAGTTGCTCAGGTGTTGGAGCACCTGCTTGCAAGTGTGAGGCCCTGAGTTCAAACCCCAGTACCACCAAAAATAAAAGTCAATTATTAAAAGTACACAGGCTGGAGGGTATAGCTCAGTGGTGGAGCACTTGCCTGACATGTGACAGGTCCTGAGTTTGATCCCCAGCACCACAAAGAAGAAAACCACAAACCCAAAACAGTATCAACACAATTGATCACTGCTGATGTTGACTTTGGCCATCTGGCTGAGCACATTTGCAATGGTTTCAGAATTGTTAACCTGAGTCCCTTTAAGTAACTTTGCCAACTAGACCACAGTGCTTATGTACGGTTCGTGTTTAGTCTGTTTTTAATCATTATTATTTTTGGCACTATTGGAGTTTGAACTCAGGGCTTTGAGCTTGTTAGCATGCAGTCATTGGAGCCACACCTCCAGGTGTTTTCAAAACATTTACAATTTTTCTTCCCATTGGCCTGTATAGTTTAGTTGGCAATGCTTTTAAGTTTAGAGGCCATGAATTCGACTGCCAGCTTCTCTTAAACAACTGGCAAATAAGGAAACATTTCTTACATTCCCCACTGGCAATCATCAGCTGATTTAGGTGGATGGAGAGTTCTCTCCCCAGTTCACTAAGGTCCTTTCCATTACTTGCCCTTTTCCTGAAGGCATTTGAGCTGCACTCCTTCATGCCTGGTGGAGCAGAAAGACTAAGAGTGAATGAATTATGGAGGCTTGGAAGAACCATTATCACTATGTGACCCCTGGTGAACTGACTTCTTCAGTACCACTGGCAGTCCAGGAACCTTTCTTGGGTTTCTATTTGTATTTCTTACTCTTAAAAATAAAATAAAAATAGACTGGAGGTGTGGCTCAAGCCAGAAGAGCACCTGCTTTTCAAGCGCGAAGCCCTGAGCTCAAACCCCAGTACTGCCAAAACAGTAAGATATGCATTCGCCATGTTGTTTCTCAAACTAAGACTTCCATGTTTTGCAGCCCCAGATAACTGTTTTGAAAAATTCCTTAAGCACAGCAAACCCAACTGGTTATTTCAGGGACCTAGGCTGGATTAGGCTTAGAGGTTTTATTGTTTAATCAGAACATGAGGATGGCTGGGGCAATGTACTAACTCCAGGATCTGGTAATTTCATTCCACTTTTCAGAGTTCAAGTTTTTTGCTGTCCTTCTAATGCCTCCTTAGAGAGTAAAACCCTGAGTACCACAGAGGTTATACCAGAAAGCGTTTCATCAACTACAACTACTGTTCTGCTCAGAAGTCAGGGTTACTAGTTCAAGCCCAGTTACTACAACATATAGCTTGATCCCATTTACATGAAACTCAAGAATGCAAGCTAATCTACAATGGCAGAAAGCAGACCAGTGGTTTAAGAGGGAGGGATAGCACTTAGGGGCTCAAGGCAACCTTGGGGAATAAAAAATGTCTACCATCTTAATGTGTCAAGGATCATCAAATTACATACCTTAAATATTTGTTATTTGTACTTGAATTAAGATTATGTATGTGTGTAAATATATATAAAGACTAGGAACTCTGTCCTCAGGGAACAATCTACCCTGGTGGCACACATGTGTTTGCCACCAAGGAGACCTGCTTGTTCCCTGAGGCAGCATGGGAGGGTGAATGCAACACGAGGAGCTTTAGGGTGAACTAGAAAAGGATGTAGAACAAACAATTCCCCAAAGGGTCTGTGGCATAGGACACTCCATACCCAGGGATTGGGATGTCGCTCAGTGGGAGAGCACTTGTCTAACATGTGCAAAGTCCTGGGTTCAATCCACAGTACCCCAAGAAAAAAAGCAAAAAAAACCAAAAAGCCCCATACTCATATGTCTACTAGGTACCAACTAAAGCGGCTCACTTAACTGGTCTAGATGAACCATTTCAGAGGTATGAAACAGTGAACAGAAACAAAAAGAAAGACGGGTTAAATTTTAAAAATTTGTTTATTTTTTCCTTTTTTTGCTGATTTTTCTTGAGATGGCTACACCACCAGACAGAACAGTTCCCTTGTACCTAATGGCTGTGCAGAACTGCACTCCTTCAAAACATAAAATTCTGTTTTGGACTTTCCCTCTTTGGCCTTACTCCCACCCCCTCCATAAGTCAATTAATTTCCACACTTTTTAGTAAAATACAATCAGCCTTGGAAACACTTTTATTCTATCCCCCCACCCTTTTTTTTTTCTCCCTCTGTCTGTGGATGAATAATTCACTAAGAAAAAAAAAAAGGCTTAAAAAACCTAGAATGCACATTTATATCCTTCCCCACCCACCCCAATTTTGGCTGTTCTCCCCAAGATTGACAATAACTTCATATGGATTAGAAGTAGATTTACAGACTGAAGAGGTCAGGGCTGAGTTGTACATGAATATGAGTTTTGACAGTGGCCAGTCCTGAGAATCACTGATGTGACCATGACACAAAGCAGAATAGGCTCCTTGTCTGAATAACTCTAAAGGTGGGAAGAGAGAGTTGGGGGGGAGGGGATTTCTATTCAGTTGTGTTAAAAAGAGGGAAAGGGAGAGTGGAAGAGGACAAAACAGAAAACCTTAAAAGATGACCCTGAAACGTTACTTCCAATTGTAGCTATTTAATTCATTTGAATCCCATTTTCCTTAGGGAATGCTTGTTTCACAGAAAGTTCTTTTATTTTTCTGTATGTGCATTGCACATTGGTGTATGTGTGCTACCAGGCGAATGCTTCAGTTCTGGTTTCATTTTAGTTTTCCTTAAAATTATTTTTCCTTTTAGAAACAAGTTCACCAGGAAACCAGCTCCCCTCCCACCATGCTGGACAAGCTGCAGCCATCTTTTTAAAACCGCGCTGATTTTCCCTCACACCCCAAACAGGAACTCCTCAGGATGCCTCAGAAGGCTGGAGTCTTCTCCTGTCTGGCGAGACGCCCTGGTGGCAGTGAAGGCCCCTCTGCCACAACGGAGGTTTCTGATTGTGGGACACAGTCTGGGCTTTGTTTTCTTCTTGTCTTCTAATTAAAAAAGACATTCCTGACAAAAGAGAGAAGGTGGTCAGTAACTGGCCAGAACAGAGTGAGCATGTTGTAGCACCAGCCTTAAGGCAGAGCTTTCTACACTTGCACAGCCGCCTCACTGTAGACTCTGCCATGAGAACTCAGTTAAAAAACAAACAGAGGCTGGTGAAATGGCTCAAGTGGTAGAGCACCTGCCTAGTAAGCCCTGAGTTCAAACCCCAGTAGCAAAACAGAACCAATCAAACAGGCTGGAGACATGGGTCAAGTGGTAGAGTGCCTACCTAACAAGTGCAAGGCCCCTGAGTTCAAACCTCCCAGTTCTTTCAAAAAAAACAAAAAAAACCAAAAAAAACTTTGTTTTAAAAATTTGTGAGTCCAAGGGAACAACTACTTTAACGAAACAATTGCCTCAGTGCATCTCCAGTGCTGAGCGGACTGCCGAAACTAGTAATGACATGTGGGGGTCAGGAGTGAGCCAGTAGGTCCAGGCCTCCTGTTCCAAACCAACCAGAAAAGCTCCATTTTGGCTTGCTAAAAATTGGGGTGTCATGCCAGGTTTTGTTTTGAAAGAAAGCTTTGCCTACCAACAAGAATTAAAAAGACCATCAACTTAGATTCTTTGGAAAGAGTACTGGTACCATAATGTCTACACTTGAATTCTGGCTCCCCAGCTCCTAACTGTAACATCAGGCAAATTGTTAAACATCTTTGAACTTCATTTTCCTTATTTGTAAAATGAGCACACTAGTAATTGCCCTAGAGAACTTTATGAGAATTCTCTTAATCATATAAAGCACGTAGAGTGGTAACCGATAGCAAGTAAGGGTAAATGAACGTAAACTATGAACACCTTCAGCTGTTACATGCAATGATCCCAAATGAAATTATTACTCATTAAATATCCAAACTTTAGAAATAATAATTTTGGGTGCGGAAGGCACTGCTGACCATCACCTTGATTTATTAATGCATTTATCATGGAAACTACCAGTGAGTGGTAGATTCAAATAGTATTGGCTCATTAGAGAGTTAAGTTCAAGTTAATATGTCAAAGGGTAGGCTTAGGAGCATTGCTTTTCTTCTGCTACCCAGTCCTTTCTTTCTCCAGCTAAGCTTCATGCTTTGCCTAAGAATCCAGAGACAAGCAGCACATGGAAAAAACTGACCATCAGGAGGAGCCAAAGAGGCTACTCCTTTCCTGTACTTGCTGCCCTCGTCAAAATCTGGCATTTGTGTATTTAAATAATAAAGTGGTAAAAATAAGCTCCTTGCTGATTAAATCAGTCTTAGGAGACTGGTGCCATGTATTGTGGTCAACTGTGGGTTAATTTTGTTTTCACCGAAGTAGCCAGGTGAAGTACATCCTTGTTTTAGAAGTGTTTGTAAGAGGAAGAAGGAAGGAATGTCTCTTGAAGCATTCTGTAATAGTTACTTTATTATGGTTGTAGAAATTACATCCAAATACACTGATAATTATCTGGCTGCCTTGGCCCAAGAAAAAGGGTCCTACACATCCCAGCTGCGCAATACATTTAAACTGTAAGTACTTCCCTGACTCTAAGTCCCATGATGGATACAAAACATATATCCACCCAAGCTTCCTGGACAGCTGGGGAAGGGCTGGAAGTACATTATCACTCACCTGGGCGGACAGGCACAGTGCAGGAGTGTGAGCTACCGAAACAACCTGGTGAAGTCTCGCAAGGCCCAGCAAACTTGCTTACATTCTTCAGCACTAGAAGAGAGGAGAAAGATATAACCTGCTGAGAAATGACCTCAAGCTGAGAATAGTCCCAACTGCCAGAAGTGCGTTTCATGGACTTTCATTTTGACAGGGTCTATAGCCCAGGCTAACCTCAATCCTCCTGCCTCAGTCTTTGCAGTGCTGGAATTATAGGTATTTATTACGACACCCAGCTTCTTCACTGACTCTTCAGTGATTGAACATCTTTCTACAGGAAGATCTGCTTCAGATCTTTCTGTAAATCAGGGTAAAAATGAACTATTAGGGAGTGATCTCTTGGTTCTTGTGTATTTGGACAATCTTTGCCTCAGTTTCTTCATCTATTATCTACCTTATGTTGGTCAGAGAATTAAATTTGTTCTGTATGTAAAGCATGTATGATAACAGAACAATGAACAACATAGTACTCAATAAATGTAAGGCTGTTAAACCACCACTTGAAGTCTCTGACACAAAAATACAGGGACTAGAATCTCCCAAAATAACATGGCATGTTCACCTAAGACTGTGATCATTTTAACTCTGAGCTGTGCTAACTTAGGTACCCTGGTTTCGTGATTTTCTTCCAAAGACAGATTCTATCTATATGGCAACTAAATCTTTATCAGTCATCAGCTTTCTACCTGAACAGTGTACTCAGGATTTCCTCCTGTGGGAAGAGGTAGGAGAGAGGAAAGGATTAAGGCATGTAGAAAGGGAGAAGTAAGGAACAGGACTTGGTCCTCAGGCAAACAGTGAGATGACTAGGTGGTATGAAAAGACTAATAATTGTAAGACTCCATTTTTTCTTTTCTTTTTTTTTTTTTCATTTTTCTTTTATTATTCATATGTGCATACAAGGCTTGGTTCATTTCTCCCCCCTGCCCCCACCCCCTCCCTTACCACCTACTCCGCCCCTTCCCTCTCCCCCCCATCAAAACCCAGCAGAAACTACTTTGCCCTTATTTCTAATTTTGTTGTAAAGAGAGTATAAGCAATAATAGGGTGGGTGGTAAGGGAGGGGGTGGGGGCAGGGGGGAGAAATGAACCAAGCCTTGTATGCACATATGAATAATAAAAGAAAAATGAAAAAAAAAAAAAAAAGCAATAATAGGAAGGAACAAGGGTTTTTGCTGGTTGAGATAAGGATAGCTATACAGGGCATTGACTCACATTGATTTCCTGTGCGTGGGTGTTACCTTCTAGGTTAATTCTTTTTGATCTAACCTTTTCTCTAGTACCTGTTCCCCTTTTCCTATTGGCCTCAGTTGCTTTAAGGTATCTGCTTTAGTTTCTCTGCGTTAAGGGCAACAAATGCTAGCTAGTTTTTTAGGTGTCTTACCTATCCTCACCCCTCCCTTGTGTGCTCTCGCTTTTATCATGTGCTCATAGTCCAATCCCCTTGTTGTGTTTGCCCTTGATCTAATGTCCGCATATGAGGGAGAAATACGATTTTTGGTTTTTTGAGCCAGGCTAACCTCACTCAGAATGATGTTCTCCAATTCCATCCATTTACCAGCGAATGATAACATTTCGTTCTTCTTCATGGCTGCATAAAATTCCATTGTGTATAGATACCACATTTTCTTAATCCATTCGTCAGTGCTGGGGCACCTTGGCTGTTTCCATAACTTGGCTATTGTGAATAGTGCCGCAATAAACATGGATGTGAAGACTCCATTTTTTCAAAAGATTCCCTTTATCCAAAACTTACTAAGAAACCAATTGAGGGCAGCTTCATTCTTTCATGTGTCTTCTAACAGTTTTTGCTGACTGAACCTGAGGCTAGGCTAAAGCACTGAATGGGGAAGCGCTTCCTAACATGCTTGTTCTTCTGTGGCCCTTTTCCTAGCTCAGAAAACTCAGGGATCACTCTATAGCTTAGAAGAACCTTGATTTAGACCCCAGGACTTGATTCAGCAGACTGTTCTAGGAACTTTCTTCTAGTCTTAGCTCCATCCTAAAAATGTAGTGAAAATTAAGAGTCTTCTGGTTTTATTGGAATTCTGCCATTCCTCTTTGTGGATATTGCAAGCTTCAATGAAAGTGCTACATTTTTCAGTCTACTTCCAAATCAACACTGATGCTAAGAAAGCAGACAAGGGTGCACATGCAATGTTACTCATATTTCTAAAGTCAGGATGGTGGAAGAATGTAACCCAAGAGAGATTGTAGTATGGTGTGCTATTATACCAGGGACTAACACAAAAGGAAATCCCGACACTCTTAGAAAAGTGCTGAAGACTTAAGTGTCTTGTGCTATCCTAATATCTTACATGCTTAAAATGTTACCCCTCTTCAATCACAGACCCTGATTTAATCTGGACAAGAAGTAACTCCATTGTTAGCCTCTTTTTTGTTACATGAAATCAAAAGGTATGAAGTATAGAACTTTGTTGGGACAGGGCAAAATAAGAGACAGGTCACAGTGTCTCACAGTGTCTCAAATCAGCTCCACTTCTGCCTTCCACCCTATCAGTGACTGCTCTGGTACCAAAAGCTTCATCCAAATGTTGAACTTGTGCCCACAGAAATGGATCAAAAGCTCCTTGAATTCTAGCACTGTTTTCTGTTTCCTGTTTCTGTCCTTCTGCCATTTACTAGTTCCTGATTTCTAATTTTATTTAGTTTTTCAAATGCATCATCATCATTATTATTATTATTATTACTTTTGTGCTACTGAGGTTTGAACTCAGGGCCTCAAGCTTGCTAGGCAGGATCTCTACCATCTGAGCCACTCCACCAGCCCTTTCTTGTGTTGGGTATTTCAGATAGGGTCCAGCATCTTTTGTCTTTAAAAACCCTCATTACAAGTGGTAAGTAGTCACACCAAGATAGAGAAATAGAAAAAATGGTTAGATGACTTCTAATCTCAGTTTGAGCTAGTGACAGGCCCATCTGGTGTTCAGAAAGCAATAATGATATTCTACATTGAAAAGGCTCAGCTTTCTTCAAGTTGACCAACTAAAAAAGACAGGGAATTAATTACCATTGCCATTTGAAAAGCAGGCTTGGACTTGCTGCAATGAAACTGAACCAGTTCACCCTCCCTGCTAGGATGGCAAACAAAGCAGCATGTTGTTACAGGACTTTAAAACCAAAAGGGAGATTGAGTCATGCACAGGTTCACGGGCAAAGGCATACCAGAGAAAGAAAATTAGTAAAAGGAGGTGAGCCATCTCAAACCCTTTTTCTTAGCCCCTTGATATTTCTTACTTCTGTTCATTTCCCACCATTACATCATAGCCTTGTACAGAAGGGGTGCAAAACTCGTTTAGCAATAAAACATCACATAGGCTAGGTTGATAGAGCACTTTATTTTCTCATACCACAGGGCAAAGTTAACATATAGTTTTGTCCACACTGTTTTCTTTTTTTCCTTGCCCTTTTCCTTAAATTAAAAAATGTCCATGATCTTGATTTCAGACTCAATCCACTGTTCTACCTGTCATATATTAGTCTCACCAAGGGGATATGGGCTTGGTAGAGACTTACTCCACAATGTGTGGGTGGCCACCTTAAGAGTTTGGCAGGAGACATGCCCCAGCTAGTTTTGCAAGTACAAAAGGACATTCTGGCAGTTTCTTTTCCAAGAGAAAGGAGTTCAAACTTACTTGCTCACCTACTATGTGCAAGATCTTTAAGTTTTCATTTGGTATCTCAAATAATTCTATGAGACATGGAAACAGTAGCCTTATTTTACAGAGAATTAGTTGAAGTTCAGAGTAACAGGGTGAGTAGCAACACACTTAACTCTAAACCAGGTCTTTGAGTGTTTCCCCAAGGCTTCCATTTGCTTTAAGGAAATTAGAGCCAACATGGCCATGCCTGTCTACTGATGGAACAAACCAAAACAGAAGCAGACAGAAAGGACTACCTTATTATTTACACCTGTGATCACTTGTGGGCAAAATACTACTTCTATGAGGAAGACTCATACTCAAAGGAAATTGAATATTTTTATAAGGTCATCCTAGTCAATATATGCCACCTAGTAGAGGGGAAATCCCCACTTCTAGCAAAATGTATCACAAAGGCAGTCACATGGCTACTTTTCAGTCATGCATGTCTCCTGAAGTACAGTTAAACAACTGTTACTTCTGGGGCATGAAATTAATTAAACCACTTCGTAATCCACAAAATAATAGCAATAGCACTTCATGGTTTGGGATTTCTTTTTTTCTCCTCTCTTCTTTTTCTTTCCTTTCTTCTATTTTTGTCTCTCTTCTTTTTTCCTCTCCTCTTTTTCTCCCTCCCTCCCCCTTTCTCCTATCCCTCTCTTCCAGATAGGTTCTTACTATGTAGCCCTCTTAACTCTTGATCCTCTGCCTCAGTCTCCAAGTACATGACTACACCTGGCTAAGTTTTGGAGTTTTAACATTAACAAAATTGTTGGGGACATTCCAAAGGATGAGAAAGTAAAACATTTTTGAAAATGACATTAAGAAATAAATTCTCAGAAAAGAGTAGCTCTTTTACCATTAACTAAAATGCTTTATTTTCCCTCCTTCCCGAAAACTCGGTCCTTATAAGATAAAGAAAAATAACTAAACACTAGGTTCGGCAGGTGCTCTACCACTTGAGCCATTCCATTAGCCCATTAGGTCTGATTTTAATTTTAAATGATAATACATGCTCATGAAAAGAAATGTAAAATAGTACAGAAAGTTCTGAAATGAAAAGTAAAAGTTTCCCTCCTATCCTGGTTTCACTTGTATATTTTTTTCCCAGAAATTTGTTATGCATAAAGTATCCTGCAGATAGACAGACAGATAGAATAAAATAAAACATCCTTTAAAAGTGTACATTGGTCCATTTACAAAAGCATGAACAAACAAAACAAAGCCTTAGGAAAGTAATTTAACCAAGAAGCAAGACTTGTACATTGAAAACTATAAAACACTGCTGAAAGAAATTAAAGGCACCAATAAATAGAAAAATGGCCTGAGTTCATGCACTAGAAAACTCATTAATTTGTGCATAAACAGAAAAACTCTAAATTCAATGGCATCTCAAGGGACCTCAAATAGCCAAAACAATCTTGAAAAATAACAAAATTAGAGATATAACAGTTCCTGATTTAAAATTTATTACAAATCTACAATAATCAAAACAGCATGATACCAGCACAAAGCCAGACAGACTAATGGAATAGGACAGACCAGAAATAAACCTTCATGTATATGACCAAATGATTTCTGGCAAGAGTGCTAAGACCATTCAATAGGGAAAGAACAATCTTTTCAACAAGGTGTGGAGAAAACTAGATATCCACATGTAAAAAAGGCTGGATTTTTACCTAGAATCATATAAAAATTAAGTAAAGCTGGTGCTGGTAGGCTCACACCTGTAATCCTAGCTACTCAGGAGGCAGAGATCAGCCCAGGGCAAATAGTTCCTGAAACCCTACCTCAAAAACCATCAGAAAAAAAGGGCTGGCAGAGTGGCTCAAGAGGCAAGAACCTCTGCCTAGGCCCTGAGTAACTCGAAACCCCAGTGCCACAGGGGGGGAAAAAAAAAAAAGTAAAATTTTAATTGCAGAAAACCTAGGGTAAAAAAACACTTCATGACATTAGATAGAACATCAAGAGCACAAGCAACAAAAGTAAAAAACGGATGACTAAGTTACATTAAAATTAATAATTTCAGGAGCTAGGGATGCAGTTCAAGGGTACATCATTTGCCGAGCACACACAACGCACTGGATTCAATTCCTAACACTGCAAAGGACAAAAACAAAAACAAAACAAAGGACACAATCAACAAAGTGAAAAGGCAGCCTAGAGAATGAGAAGAAATGTTTGAGTTAATATTCCAAGTACAAGCAACTCCTACAACTCAATAACAAAAGGAATTCAATTTTAAAGTGGTCAGGGGACTTGAATAGACATTTCTCCAAAGAGACACAGACAGCTAATAAACATATAAAAAACTGTTCAAGACCACTGCAACACTACTTTATAGTAGGTGTGAGATGTTATGGTGGCTGTTAAAAAACAAAGGATCACTGAGCACCCTCCCCCACTCCCATAAAGGTACTGACAAGGACACGATGAAACAAAAAGCTTGTGTACTGCTGGTAAAAATACAAAATGATGAAACTATATGTAAAATAATATGGTGGTACATTGATTTTTGTTTCTTTTTGGTGGAACTGGGGTTTGAACTCAGGGCTTTGCTCTTGCAAAGCAGGTGCTCCACTGCTTGGAGCCATGGCTCCAGCGCATTTTATTTTAGAGATGAGGTCTCTTGAACTATTTGCCTGGGGTGGCCTTGAACTGTTATCCTCCCATTTCAGCCTTCCAACTAGTTAGGATTACAAGATGTGAGCCACCAGTGCCCAGCGCTCAAAAATCTTTTTTAAAAAATAGTTACTGGGCTGGCAGAGTGGCTCAAGCAGTAAGAATGCCTGACTAGCAAACATGAGGCCCTGAGTTCAAGCCCCAAGTCTGTCAAAACAGAAATTAAAAAAATAGAGTTACCACTTGATCCAACATTCTGCTTCTGGGTATAAATTCCAAAAAATGAAAGCAGGGTCTCAAAGTGATGTTTGTACACTATACCCATATTTTTGGAGGCATTATTCACAATAGATAAGAGCTAGAAGCCAACCTAAATGTGCACTGACAAAAGAATGGACAAATAAGCCAGGCGTGGAGGTGCACACTTGTAATCCCAACACTTAGAAGGCTGAGGCAGAAGATGAGAGTTCGAGGTCAGCCTGCTAGAGTGTGAAACCCTGTGTCAAAAAACAAGTAATAAACCCCCAAACGAAGCAAATAAACAAAAAAGAATGGATAAATAAAATGTGGTATCTATCTATCTATCCAGTGCAATATTATTTAGTTTTAAAAAGGAAGGAAAGTTTGGCACATGGTACAAGATGAACCCTAAGGATATTACACTGAATAAAATAAGCCATGAGGAGGCTGGAAGGGTAGTCAAACCAAAAGAAACATCAAGTAGGATGGTAACTGCTACAGGGTGAAAAGAAGGAGTAACATCTGCTAATGGGCATAATTTCAGCTTTTGAAGATGGAGTGGCCCCCAAAAGGCTCATGTGTTGGCAGCTTGTGCCCTAGCTGGTAGTACTGACAGGTGACTGGATGGTAAGAGCTCTAACTTCATCAATGGGCTAATCTGTCGATAAGCTCATAACTGAATAGGCTATATTAGAAGATAGGGCCTGGCTGGAAGAAGTTTATTTGGGTTGTGACTTTGAAGGGTATATTTGGTCCTTGTCCCTTCCTGTCTCTGCTTACTGAAGGCCATGATGTGAGCAACTTTGTTCCTCCATGTCCTTCTTCCATTATGTTCTGTTTTACCATAACCTAGAAACAGCCATTCAAGGACAGAAACCTCTGAAATCCACCTCGCTTAAACTGTTTTCTCAGATACTTTATCACAGAGATGAAAAGTTTAATACATTGAAAATGGTTAAGATGGTGCCTGGTTTCTAGTCCATCCATCCGTCCCCCCCGTTCCCGCCCCACGCCACACACACAATTAGCAACCTCACTGCAACACTCCTTCTTTGACCTATATATCTTCCCTCAACTATATGAATATACACCAATACCTTAAATTTAGTCAAAATTCTAATGACTCTAGCTATAAAAAGAAGTGTCAGGGCAAGAAAACACAGTTAAAAATGTAATTGAAGTTGCTGCAATTAATATTAGCAAGCATGATGGCTCACAGCTATAATCTCAGCTACCTGGAAGGCTGAGATTGAAGGATCACAGTTAGAAGCCAGCCCCAGCAACAGTTCATGAGACTCCACCTCCAAAATTGCCACAGCAAAATGGACTGGAGGTTGGAGGTATGGCTCAAGCAGTAAAGCACCTGCTTTGCAAGTGTGAAGCCCTAAAGTTCAAACCCCAGTCCCACCAGAAAAAAAATACCAAGGACCATAAAACTCTCCTAAGACTTTGATTCTTTTAATCCAAGAGAAGGAAAAGGCTATACTTCTAGTATTTTCTTTAATATTGAAAATAATATAAATGTCTCCTAATAAAGGCAATAAAAAGAACTCAATTTTAACTTTTATGGCTATAAAACAGTAGCCAGGAAGACTATGTAAGTGTTAAAAATGTTTGTATGTTCACAGTATTAAAAAAAAACAAAAAAACAAAACACTGCTGCTTAGCAAGCACAGGCCCTGAGTTCAAACCCCAGCACCACTACCCACTCCCACTTTACATTTTAAATCCAGAGATTGTGAGCAAGTGATCACTGGATCTAATGTTTCATTTGCACAACTTTGAAAATAGAATTTGAGTATCTTCAGGGAGGAGGAAGTTCTCTGATTCACTGCAGCCTACATCACTTTTTAATGCTTAATAGCCAATGCTTCACCTATTCAGGCATCGGCATTCTTCACCCCTAAAGATGAATGAGAACTAAGAAGAACTTGGAAAGACAAACAGAGATCCCCTGAAGGGGGACCTTTTTCCTTTGGGAGAGGTATTGTCTTCACTTATCCAGCCAGCTAGTTCACATATGTGTCATGTCCGTCCCCCCACCCCCCATTGGCTTTCTGCGTCAATCTGTGCAATGCAAGGTTAAAAAGATACTATCTTTCCATATACCCAGCAGCTATTCACGCTTTTTACTAAGCCCCCAAGCATCACTCACCTCGTGACTTGCTTGTGGAAGTCTGTAAGTTGTTTGTGTGTCACTGTGACAGCTCCCACAGTTGTCTCCTTTGGCAAACCTTTTAAGGAATTCTCTAACCACCGACAAAAAGTCTGTATAGAGAAGAGGGAATAACAGTAAGACAGTTATAATTCTACAGGTACTAACAAAACCCCACAGATTTTCTTTAGCAGCATTTGTTAGGAAATTAGCAAAAGTGCTATCTTTAGGTCCTCAAATGCTCTGGGTTGATGTCTGCAAATGCAGACCTAGACTTCCCTTCAGAGGGGCAGCAGGTATCCTTACAGATGGAGGCTTTCTAGTTTTGTTTTGTTTTGTTTTTTTTGCAGTACTGGGGTTTGAGCTCCAGGCCTCACACTTGCTAGGCACGCGCTCTACCACTTGAGCCACTCTGCCAGTCCAGATTTCTACATCTTGAAGAGTAATCTCTTTTGCATGAGGTAATTGTTCTGCTTCTGTCATTAAGCTTATATAGTAACTTCAAAAAGTATGTGAGGCCCTGAGATCAAGCCCCACTATCTCAAAACAAACGAAAAAGATAACAGATGCCAGAAAACTCATGAGTTTAAAGATCGAAAGCAATTAAAAGTAAATGTTCAGAAACCAGAAAGAGCAAGGACAAAAAAACATACTAAGTAAAGCAGGAAACATAGCTCCTAGAGACCAATAGCAGTCCAGCCACTACCAGCAAAACCTGCATGCTGATTTTGATAGAGCTATAGAACACACGAAGCTGAAAATGAGATCGAATGACAAAGAACTGAAAAACTCTGTGGGATTTCCACACAAGTTGTAATTGGAAAAACTGATATCCAGTATCCAGCATTGTATAATGTAAAGGCAATGCCAAACCAGGCGAGGAGAGGCAAGCTATAATCCCAGCACTTGAGATATGGAGGCAAGAGAACTGAGAGTTCCAAGGCTAGCCTGAGCTACATATATATATATATATATATATATATATATATATATATATATATAAAATGAGACCTTGTCTCAAAACAAAACCAATAAATAAATGCAGAAATAGGAAACCTCCTAACAGGATTGTTGATTGGCTTGAATACCAATAGTTCTAAAACAACAGACCAACAGCAGATGAGAAATGTTTCCTTTTGAAGCCTTCATAACAGCATCATGGCTTAAATGGACTGTTGACTCTATGTATCATGAATATTTTTGCTATTAGCATGAATTGTGATACTTAACTAGGGTTATGCTAAATTTCATTGCTTAAGCCAGGTGATTTTAAAGGTTCCTTAAAAAGAAATTACTTCACTGGTACTAAGTACACAAAACTGACAATTATTTGTTCTTATGCTTATCTGTTCTACAATGAGTAAAAACAATTAAAAAAAGAAAAGCATCCTAAGTAAGCATATCAGAAAGCATATATATAATTTGAATCCAGAGGAGGATTTTAAGGTCATCTATCTCAGAAGAAGTCCTACGCTTTCAGTTCCCTTGTATGACCTGCCCATTCTTTGGTTTAGAAAATCTCATTCTTGATGCTATTTAAAATCATCTATATCTGAACAAAGTGCTCTTTAAACCTTTCATAAGAGCTTGGTACAGTGATACAGGATGTAATCTCAGCACTTGAGAGGCTGAGGCAGGAAGATCTGAGTTTGAGGAGAACCTGGGCTACATATCCCTGTCTTACCATAACCTAAGTTGTAAGGGGTTTCACCATGATACTTACAACATGCATATAATGTACTTTGAAAAAATTAATCCTACCAGACAGGCACCAGTGGCTCACACCTGTTACTTACTCATAGCTACTTGGGAGGCAAAGATCAGAAGATTATGGTTCGAAGGCAGCTGGGGCAAATACTTCACATGACCCTATCTCAAAAATACCCATCATAAAAAAGGGCTGGCAGAGTGGCTCAGGCAGAAAAGCTCCTGCCTAACAAGCATGAAGCCCTGAGTTCCAACCCCAGTATCACTAAAAACAACAACAATAAACAAACAAAAACATCCCACCTTTTCTTTTTCTTTTTTTTTTTTTTTGGCAGTTTGAACTCAGGACTTCGTGCTTGCCGGGCAGGCATTCTATTACTTGAGCCACACCTCCAGCACCCCCTCCCAAATTTTAAAATAAAAAAAGAATAAACATTTCATAGGCAAAAACACCTGTCCTAACCACCTTTACTTCTTTCTCAAACTAAAAATCAACATTCTAGAGACTTCTCCAATTTTTTTCCAGCTTAATTGCTCTTCTTTGAGTCAGATCTAATTTTTCATCTTTCTTAAGTGAAATGTAAAGTTTTCAGTTATAAAATATCCTTTTTATGCATAGATATGATTTTTTTAATTATGTATTTTCCCATCCTGGTTACTTATAATCATACCAAGCCAGAGCAAAATATTATAATATATATTATAATGTAAATATTCAATTATAACATAAATTCTCCAAATGTTGCGCCCTGGAAAGATAACACTTTACTCAGAAAAAAAAAACAATCAGAGGCAGACTCAAGACAGACCAATTAACTGACAATATTTTGATGACCAAAAGTGGCCCAAAAGTTAACTACAATATCTATCCCCTCAACCAAAAACTAAACAGCAAAATCAAATTAGATAGCACATAATTGTCTGTCATCATCTTCCAGTAAAGGAATCTAAAATATTTGGTTGATAGTTGTACTCAAGAAAGTTGGTGTGTCATCTTCTACGAAAGAATTTGTATATTTAACTTTGAAAACGATGACTAAGAAAGTACTCAAGAATGTGAAGTCATGTCCTTAGTTACAATATTAGTTAATTTATAAGAGTATAAACAATCCAAATTTTACAAAAACTCAACTGTAAGCTGATATTCATAGAAGACAATTACTTTAAATTATTTGACGATTGTATGTGTGTATAGAAAACTCTTACAAGCATATGGCTACCTGATTTCTGTTCTTGTCCAAACCTGCATTCCCATTTTCTTGTTAGCATTTAACCTATGTTTATGAATCAAGAATATCATTGTAAAGTTCAATTAACAAAGTAAGTCTTCTGCTATCTGGGAACAAAGGATATTTGTAAAAAAGTTTAAGCAGAGTATGGACATTTTGCAGAGTATGGACATTTTATTTTTCAAGATAAGGACTTTTGGAAAAAAAATTTGTTAGCCCCTGTGAGATCACACTACTTTCTTTAAAAATCACATTCTTATTATTCACAGTACTGGAGCTTGAACTCAAGGCCTACACCTCAAGCCACTTCACCAGCCCTTTTTGGTGATGGGATTTTTTCATGATAGGGCCTCAAGAACTATTTGCCCAGGCTGGCTTCCAACTGTGGTCCTCCTGATCTCTGCCTCCTCAGTAGCTAGGATCACAGGCGTGAGCCTCCGGCACCCGGCACACAGTTTTATTATAGTGAAATGGACTGTGTCTACTGAACAAACAGCAATGGAAACTGTAGGTACAGTTAGACACCATTATTCAGACACTGTCTGTGGTTCTGCTGCTTGTATTTTTCCCCATTTGGGCAGTTGTGGGGTTTGAACTTAGGGCTTCATGCTTGCTAGGCAAGTACTCTACTGCTTGATCCACAACTTCAGCTCTTCTATGGTTTTGGAAGACAGTTTACTTTAGGTCTATCTGTGTACTTTTCTAAACAGCTTTTATTTGAGCATTAAAATTTAAAAATCCTTATTTTAAAAATAATTTACCACTATGCTTAAAACCTTGACACAGTATACATAACCTAATTTGTGATTATATGGCCAGTGCTGAATTTACTTGGAAGTTGTGAAGGGCATCTGGCTGCAATATCTGTCACCCCACTGGTTGTGAGAGCTGAAATTACTTGGCCATTAGATAGCCTAAAAAAATTCCCAAGGCTGGGGGTTTACCTCAGTGGCAGAGCATGTGCTTAAAGCCTTGGGTTCAATCCCCGCTACTCACCCCCTGCCCAAAGATATGTACATATATATACAAATACGTATATACGCACATAACACATATACATACACATATACATATACATATGGTGGTATCAGGGTTTGGCTTCAGTTGTTAGGCAGGCGCTCTATGTAGGGCTAGTTTTGACACTAAAATACCCAGAATTGCTCTGGCTAGATTTACTACCCAGGAATAATATAGTGCTAATAGAGTACAAACAAGCACTTACTTCTTGAATAACCTGCAATCTCTTAAAAGTGAAGCAATTTTCCACTGGCCAGCCACAGCTGAATTTAGCCACAGCTGAATCCAATGCTTAGTAACTTACTTCTGGTAACACACATGTAAGCTTCACAACAGTAATATAAACAGGCTTTCAAGAACCCAATAAAGAATTACTGGCATTCTATGAGCACCTTCTGTTACTGATTAAACTTAGCAATATCCCTAAATTTGGTTCCAAGAATATATAAAACCAGTTTCAAAGTCAGAGTCAACTTCAAGGAAGAAAGTCATATTAGGTTTAGGGCCTATGAAAATAGATTGCTACGAAACAATCTTACCGGTCTGTCAACCTGCATGATCTCCCACAGCACTTCAGCCACATCTGGCAGGGTATAGGGGGGGAGACAAAAGCAGCATGTATGGAGCAGCTGGCTTACAAGCTGCTGTCCAAGCTGGTTCATCACCTGTCCAATCAGTTGTTTTCGTAATTCAAAATCTTCTTCATGCTGTAAGAAAGCAGAAGCATCAGATGACTTATGGTTCTGGTCTCTACTGTCCTTTAGTCTAGTAAATTCTCTTCTCTGGGGAAGAAAGTGTATATAACAGCTGGATTCATAAAGTCCACTAAATGTTTTCTCATTAGAAAGAAAATATATGAGTTTAATATGAAGGAAATGGTCGTAAGCATAAGATGAAATTCATGTTAATGCTTAGAATTTTTCATGATTAGAAAGAATTTTTCATGGCAGAAGAGAAACAGTGGTTAAAGATTAAGGCTAGTGGAGACATGGTTCAAGCAACAGGGTGCCTGCTTTTCAAGCACAAAGTCCTGAGTTCAAACTCCAGGCTGACCAAAAAAAAGATTAAGGTTATCAATTTTCTTAATTTTTTTGTGAAGCCTTTTATTAGGTATCTAATCTTTTCTATCAAAACCAACCTTGATTATTTTATTTTCTTCCTTCTTGCAGTCTTTAAATATATATATTTCTACTACATTGAGAAAAATCTTTTAAAAACTTGCTTTCACTTCTAATTACTTGCTTCTCTTTTTACTACCAAATTATAATTAGCTCATTCACATATCTCTTTACACTGTTCTCTCTAATCTCTCTCGTCTTCAACTCTACTCCACATCTAGCCAAATTTTGTGAACTACTTCACTGCTACAGACGAACAGGTCTCTCTTTCTCTCTCTCTTCTTCTTCTTCTTTTTTTTTTTTTTTTGTGGTGCTAGGGTAGAACCCAGGGCCTTATGAATCCTAGACAAGTGCTCTATCACTGAGCCACATCCCCCAGCCCCAATCATGTCTCTTAATTGTCTACTAACACACTTAGTGCTCTTCTGCTTTCTCTAATCATTGTTTATACAACAGTTAGATTACTTTCCTATCTCCAAGTCATCCATGTTCTAACTTATGGTTCCGTTTAAGCTCTTCCTCTTCCAGAAAGTTAGCCCAATCTATTTCTGTGCAGATTTATTACTCTTCTGAATTCACAGGAACCATGACTTTTACCATTCACTTCACAAATACTGTTTTTCGGGGGTTTGGGCGCAGTTTGAACTCAGCACCTTCTACCACTTGAACCACACCTCCAGCACCCTCCCTTTTTTTAAAATTTAACTCTTTGTATCTATTTACTTTAGCTAGGCATCAACTGGTTTGAGAACAAGGATAGTTTTAAACTGCTTTGTACAACCTACTGCACTTAGCACAGATGTTTTAAGATCTAGAACTTGAAAATTTGGTTCGTGAATGATCCACAATAGAATGCTTACTAATACAACTCAAGTAAGGACATGCTGTAATACTGGCTTCCCCTAAAAACAAGAAAGAGACTGAATAAGATTCAATGTTTATACTTACATCATTGGATACCCCAGTATGGATGAGGTCTCGTAGGAACCTCATTACACTACAATTGGCATCTCGGTGGTCCAGCGTAGTAGAGGCAATGGCCCACTGTAAGATTGGGATGACCACTTGACTTCTCAGTAAGGTGACAGGGCTACGCTGAATAAACCTGATGTGGGAGAAGAAACTAGGTATTATTGACAGAAGATTAGGATATAAAAGCAGCCAGGATAGCTGGGCACCAGTGGCTCATGCCTGTAATCCCAGCTACTCTGGAGGCAGAGATCAGGAGGATCACAGTTCCAAGCCAGCCTGGACAAATAGTTCTTGAAACCCTATTTTGAAAATATCCATCACAAAAAAGGGCTGGTGGAATGGCTCAGGTGTAGGCTCTGAGTGCAAGTCCCAGGACCACAAAAAAAAAAAAAAAGACAAAAGGTTAAGGTTAGGAGATCTACATGGTAATGTGGGGGTTTTGTTGTTGTTATTATATTTTGTTTTATTTTGTTTTTGAGGGTACTGGGGTTTGAACTCAAGGCTTCATGCTTGCAAAGCAGGTGCTCCACCTCTTAAGCCATACCTCTATTCCATTTTTCTCTGATTAGTTTGGAGATGGGATCTCAAACTATTTGCCTGTGCTGGCTTTGAACTGTGATCCTCCTGATCTTAGCCTCCCAACTAGCTAGGGTTACAGGTGTGAGCCACCAGCGCCTAGCAGAACATAAAAAATTTTTTAGGGCAGTGAAAAAATTCTATAGGACATTATAATGGAGTATAGATGTTATTATACATTTTTCAACTCACAGATTGTACACCAAAAGAGAAACCTTATCTAAACGATAGACTATTGGGCAATAATGAGTGTGAATGTAGGTTCACTGATTTTAGCAAATGTGCCACACAGGAGGGGCATGTTTATGATTAGTGAGGTTGTGTATGCACTTTAGGGCAACAGAGGGAATAGAGAAACTCTTTAAACTTTTCACCCAATTTTGAACCTAAAGCCACTCTTATAAAAAATCTTATTTAAAAACAAAACAAAACAAAAAAAGCAGCCAGGTGCTTTTTATGGGGACACACCATATTTAGAGTAGCATACAAAAAGATAGTATCTCCAAACTCAATATTCAAATCAGGTAGTTTCAAAGAAGGGACCTAAATGCTTTACAGTAACAGTTCCCAAACTATATTTCAAACAACACTAGTTCCCAGGAATTCCTCAAAGGAAAGGTTGTATGTATCCTAGAGCTGCAATCCTCCAAAGCAGCTTGGATTACAGGTGTGAACCCCTGTACCTGGCCCTTATTTTTTGTTTTAAACTACTACATTATTCCTCACATTCTTTAGTATATAGGAAGAATTTAGAAAACAGATGTTGACAGTCCAACCAACAATTCTCTCTCATTGGTTCACAAAAAGGTTTTACTAACCTGTCCAAACTCTAACAAAAAAATTGCTCTATATGATTAACTGAGATAGTCAAATCAATAATACTTCACATTTGTAGAGGGAAGGAGAGGCAGCAGAGGGAAATATGAAAAGTTAACACTATGGGGGTTGCAGAGATTATCTAGTAAGGTGTTTTTACCAAGTATATATTTTTTTGGTTGTTGTTCAATGCTAGGGACTGAGCCTAGACTCTCCACTGAGCTCCAATTCATAACAAGCACACTTCTCTCTTTCATGGTAGGAACTGAGCTACTTCCCCACTGCTCCACTTTCTCTTCATCTCAGAGGATATGCCAGATCACAATTTAACCCGGAGTTATAATTCATTAATGTACCTTCTCCAAAGACCTTACTTTATAAAGAAGGAAATAGCCAACTGTCAGATTAAGCACTGACAGGGATAAGCAATATTTTAAAAAAAAAAAGAAGAAAAAGGTTTTGCTCTTAAGGACTTACCGTGTGGCCAGCCTGAATAGGTCGTCTACAGTGTCAGGGTGATTCTGAAGGCCATTCTGCTGCTCCAAGAGCTGAAAGGTGGGGATACACAGTGCCTAGAACAGAACAGTGATTTTCAGACAAATACTTATTACACATAAATACCAGAACATTCAAATTTGCCAAATATCACAGCAAACACATAGGGAACAAAGACCAGAAGCACAGGTGGGAAAAGAAAAAGACTCTGATAAGAATCAGATCAGGAAAAGGAAGAAAGATACTATTTATGAACTATATATATTCCCTGAAGAGAATATATGGATTCTTCATAATAATTATGAAATATCTGTTTTAAATGAAAAGCTATTCCCTGGGCTGGTAAAGTAGCTCAAGTAGTAAGAGCCCAGCAAGCATGAAGCACTGAGTTCAAACCCCAGTGCCACCAAATAAACAAACAAACAGAAAAGCTATTCTTTCCAGTTAACTAGGAGGGAAGAAAAAGCAGTATATCAGAAGCCTTCTCTAATGCCTGCTATTAACCCTAAAACTCTTCTTTGCTGCTAAATTAATTAGTTCATTGACTATTCCTGGCAAGAAATTAAACACGTATCACAAGAGTTGGGAGATCTTCTACTTTAAATCCATTTGCCCTCAACTTCCTCTCAATACCCCACCTATACATCTGTAATGATTACTACACTCATGTAGTAAGTTCATCTTTCTCATTCTTCCAAGCAGGCCTGTCCAGAAAATAGCTAGCAAGCTTTCGCTTCCCTGTTATTAGGAAATCAACATGTGTAGAAGGAAACAAAAAGGAACAAAGACACAAAAAGAACATGTTTTCTAGGCCTTTAGACCCCAGGACTGACAGCATCTATTCTCCCAAGAAGAACACACCTGGAGCATGTCTAATAGTCCCTGCCGACAGCCTTCTTCCATGCCATACTCATCCACAAGGATACTGCCAAGGTATAAGAAACAGGAATGCTGATGTACGTGGTACACATTCACCATCTGCAGAGGGGACAAAAACAAACCAATCAGTTCAATTACTGACCCTTCAAAAAGTATCCTAACTGGTCTCTAGAAAGAAATTCAGAGACAGACTGGTCTCTCTCAATCCCACAAAAAAAAAAAAAAAAAAAAAAAAAGATAATATAGTAAAGTTTGTCGGTAACATGATGTGAAACACATTGCTCAATTTCTCAACAATTTTCAAGTTCTCCAACTTAAGAGTTCTTTTATGCCTTTGAACTTTTACCTTCTCCAAAACATTAAAGGGCAAAATTCTAGTATACTTAAAATTTCTAACATGTAAAAGCTGGTCTTATTTACATTACAGACAAGTCTCATTTTTTAATAGCACATAATAGCTACAGTAGTGAAGAAACTATCAAATGCCCTCCTCTAAGAGAAGTGAGTGAAACATTGTTTAAATTTTGAGTTGCTCTTAAACCCATCTATTTTATCTTATAAGTAAAAACAGTGTTTACAACCAAGATATCTGGATCTCAAGAAAATAAAAATCTTAGTATAGTATGCCCATTCAAGTTCTTTGCTATGATTTTTTATTCATCTATTCTCCAAAAATTTAGAGGCAATTGTATACTCACTCAAAATGTCATCATGTTTATTAATCTTATTACATAAATTCAACTCTATGAGTCTACTGGGGGCTGAAAGATAAGCAAACTACTCTTCTATCATCATATATCATGGAAAGAGCATGAAATATGACTGAAACTACCCGCTCCACTACTGAATAATTTAAGTCAGGGTTTGATCAACTTTTTTAAAAAAGGGTCACACAGTAAAAAGTGTGGGTCTTACTGGCAATTCAGCCTTCTAACTAACTCAATTTTGCCAGCATAGTCCAAAAAATGCCCAACAGATAATATCTTAAATGGGCTATACTGGCAAAGTTTATGGTCCTGCTACAAATGTCTTAGATAAAAAGTTCTTCTAGTAACACCATCATAATTACATATTAATCTCAGTGATTAAAAGAGTCAAAAAAAATTTTTTTTGACAAATAGGAAACTTATGTAAACAACACACTGTGGTCAAGAAAAATAAAATCTTTCTAGGTGTGATGGCACATGCCTGAAATCCCAGCTACTACAGAAACACAGAGATTGGGAAGATCGTGGTTTGAGGCCAGCTTGTGCAAAGTTAGTGAGATTTCCATTTCAAACCAATAAGCCAGGTATGGTGGCACATGGCTGAGATGCCAGCTACATGGGAGGCCATAGGTAGGAAGATTGCAATCTGCAGCCAGCCTTGGACAAAAACATGAGACCCCATCTGAAAAATAACTAAAGCTAAAAAGGGCTGGGGGATAGCTCAAGTGGTACAGCACCTGCTTAGCATGCACAAAACCTTGAATTCAAACCCTGGTACCACCAAAAAAAAAAGAAAAGGGAAAAACTAAAAAGAATAAAATCTCTTTGGGCCAAGAAATAGCAACATTTGACTTGCCACTTTTCCCCAAGGAAATTAATATAAAAATGCTTACCAATGGTGTATATAAAAGCTGAGCATGAGTCATTCTCTTCATATAATTTCACATTGGAATGTGTTGCTATTCAGACTACCACTATATAGAAGAGATTACAGGTTGTTTCTCTTGTAGACAACGTATCTACTGCAGGTACTTATCTCTTTCAAATTATTTTTCAGTTTGTATTTAATCAATGAAAAGGGTTTCATTTCATCAGCAGAGTTTTTGTTCAAACAGGTCCTATTTCAAACACTGTGCGCTAAACACTCCTCTCACATGGAGAACTCACCTGTGTGACCAGGGGCTGCAGCAGGGCTGCAGATCCTTTGCCAACACAGCGAACAGCAAAGCGCAGGCACCTGCAGCAACGCTCTACAATCCGGTTATCAGCCCGGTGTTTATTTAGAGTCTCGGATAAAACTGGCCATATCTGAATCATAGTTAAAGAGCACAAGAAAGAAAATAATCAAAAACTAACAGCTGACAAGATGATCCTAAATTGGCAACCTCTGATCTGGCTTTTAAATGATTGGATAAAACTTTCTTTACAGGCACACACATGGCCCGATTCTGGCCAGTGTGACTAGACATATGCACAGGTTCAATATACTACCTATTACTAACACAGTAACTCTTTTTAACAAAAAGAACACAGCTAACGTTACAAAAGGCAAATCCTAAATTTCAGACTTCCTGAAGTATGAAAACAATGCGTTACAGAGGAAGAGGTGTTTAAAAGTAGTTCCAGAAAGTGAAAGACCATGAACAAAAGAAGTAGAGTTAAGGAAATGGTATCACTTGATACACTTAACAATTAAGGATATTTGGTAATTATGTAACTTTCCCTCTAAAATCTGAAAAGCACTTCTCAAAATCATGATTCACATTATTTTGATTACTTGATTATTATTCTCACATTATCTTGAGTGAAAAAAGTACAAGGGAAGTATGATGACAATGGGGAAACTGAAACCACTAGCTTTGTCAAAGATAATTTGCTAGGACTGATCAGGCCTCTTAAGCTATTCTAGGAGTCACACAGTTAATCACTTTCTATTTATTTCTTTGGCCTTTCGGTACCTTTCTTCACAGCCTGTTTTGTTAACAAGTCCAAAATTGAAAATATTTGGATGATTCTGTCCCTCATTTCATGGAAACTGAAACTGCATCTCCCTATGAACCTAGGAGACCATTTCCTTGTAAGGAAAAATGAACAAAGCCTTGGCATCCATTAGCACTTACTTCCTGTATGACTTTTTGGCACGGATGAGTCTGTCCATTTTCCACAATGGGATTGGTGTGTCTAAGGAAAGACAATGGTCCCAAACAGTAAAAGAACAGCAATTTCACTGAGGACTCAGAGTCCTGATTCCAGCTTGCTTACTTAGCGTAATTCTCATCAAATAAAGAAAACTAGATGGGAGAGTCATATATCAACACCTTTTCCTCCACTCTACTCAAACAAAAACTCAAAGATATGTTCACTAGCACATTATTTTAAATCATCCTACAATTTTTAACACCATTAAGGCATTTTTACTAGGACAGGCAATTTCCATTCAACTCTGATTACACTGAGCTATGAAGACAATACTGTTACCTTTTCCATTTTTCCCTCTTTGTAATCTTAAATACATAGTTTCTTACAAATTAATATAAAGTATATGCAAACTATTTGAATCTACCAGAAGAAGTGAGTACTGCTCCACTACTAGCATTAAAAGACAAAGATTTAGGAACTGTACTCCACCACTGATGTTTCTCATAGTTCTAATCTGAAACCATGATACATAATATGGGCCCAACCCACAATGAAAAGCAGGAAGAAAACTGCTTGATTAACTACCAACCTGAAGATACTCTTTGATTTAAAAGGCTCAACAGCAACTGAATAATAATTTAAGTCTCTTTAATTCAAGTACTTATCACAGATTTTTTTCATTCACTGTGAAATAAAGGCTACTATTAATATAACATTCACCTGAGAACTTACTAGAAATGCTTACTAGTTTATCCACTAGATCTATGTGGATAAACCCGCTAGTTGATTCTGATGTATGATAAGTTTGAGAACCACTGATCGAGAAACCAAAATGATCTATTATATTCTTGTTTTTTTTGGGAGGAGGGCACTACTGGAGTTTGAACTCAGATCTTTGTACTTGCTAGGCTGGCCGCCTACTGCTTGAGCCATACCTTCAGCTCTTTTTGCTCTGGTTATTTTGGACATAAGGTCTTGCTTCTTGCCTAGACTGGCCTGGACCATGATCTTCCTATTTTATGCTGAGCTGACAAGTTAATGTCACCATGTCCAGTCACTGGCTAAAAAGGTCTCGTAAACTTTTTGCCAGGCTGGCCTTGAACCATGGCTCTCTGCCTCCCAAGTAGCCAGTCATTGTGCCCTGCCTTAAATTTCTTTTGTTTAAGCAGCTCTAGGGTTGAATTCAGAGCCTCAGGCTTACTAAGTAGACTGCCAGCCCTTAAAGAGTCTTTTGACAAAGATCTACCAAAAATGAATTCTCCAACACTTTTAGATAACATGCTTAACTAGTCTGACAGAAGGATTTTAGAAGGTATGTGGATGTATGAGGAAAAATGCTTGCTCACTTCAGTGTATAATGGTTTCATCTGACCGTTTACCCCAGTGAGGAATTCAGAGTCTCTCTTCTTACCTAAATATAACTGCCAGGCGATCTAAGAACACAGTGGGATCTGAGGATATGCCATTGCTGGGCTCCTGCGACAACAGCTGGAGAGACAAACAGATATTAACATACACAAACCTATAGCAAATACCACAACATATACTTTTTTTTTGTAGAGGAGGGGAGCAGTACTGGGGTTTGAATGCTAGGCAAGTACTCTATACCTTAAGCCATGCTGCCAGTTCTTTTTACCTAGTTTATTTTTCAAAAAGGGTCTCACTTTTGCTGAGAGCCAGCCCTGGACCACAATCCTCCTACCTCTGCATGGCTGGGATTACAGGCACGAACCACCATGCCCACTCTAATTGCAACATACACTCTTATTCAACCTTTATCTCAACCTCTTAGTTCCCTTTAGCAGTATCTTAAGTTATTCAAATGGTACAAACTTCATATACTGTTAATTACTTTTCTCCATCTATTGCATCCTAGCCAAAACTATATATTACTACATTTTACTATCTGATCATTGGGGTATAGAAAAATCATTTGATTCCCCCCATTTATTTAAATTACAATTAAGATATTGTCTACATTAGGTTATAAAATAGATTGTATGTTGTTACATCAGAATATATGTAATATAACAACTTTATATTTTGCTTGATATTATAAACCTTTAAGGTTATTACAGCTTTACAATATATTTTAAGCAAATTGCCTTATTCTTCTTTCCTAAAATTTCTTAAATACTCTTACTAGTATATCATTAGCGATGAACTTTAGAATCATGTCAAGTTCTAAAAAACTCATTTAGTGTATCTACTATTATTGTACTATAAACCTAACTGAAAAAGAGGTGACATCTTTAAAGTATTCTTCAAAGAAATACGGAAGGTTATAATTTTGATTGCTAACTTGAGTGGTCTTTCCACCTTATGTATTTTTAACTGATTATTACTAAAATGAAAATCTGTTGATTTTGAAACAGTCACATGGTGAATGACCAATGCTATGGTCAATGACAAACCATATATCCAGCAGTGATCTCCTAAGATTATAGTAGAGTTGAAAAATTACTAAAACCTAGTGATAGCAGTGATTTCAGAGACATCCAAATGTAAAATACATTACTCACACAATTGTGGTGATGCTGACGTAAACAAATTTATTGTGCTGTCAGTCACATAAAAGTATAGTATATATAATTATGTACAATAAGTAATAATTCTTGGTAATAAATGACTTACTGGTTACTTACTATACTACTTTTTATAATTATTTTAAAGTATATTCCTTCAGCAGAGCACTGGTAGCTCAAGTCTGTAATCCTAGCTACTCAGGAAGCAAAGATCAGGATGATCGCGGTTCAAAGTGAACATGGAAAAGTAGTCCAAGAGACCCTATCTCAAAAATACCAAACATGAAAAAGGGTTGGCAGAATGGCTCAAGTTGTAGAGTGCCTGCCTAGCAGGCATGAGGCCCTGGGTTGAAGCGCCAATACACCAAATAAATAAAGTGTACTCCTTCAATTTAGAAAAAAAGTTTATTGTAAAACAGATTGCTGTGGTATGCCAACAGCAGCCTCATACATCTCATTTTCACTATGTCTCTTTATTGCATCAAGAAGCCACATTAAGTGACTGACCTAACCTTCTGGATTTATATAAGTACTCTAAGGCTTGAAAAACTATAAAATTGCCTAATGACACACTTCTCAGAATGTATCCCTGTTGTAACTATACTTTTTCTATGTATATCATTACTTAGATTTACTAATTTTAATAAATTCTCAGTTCATTCTTTGGCTTTTCTAGGTAGATGAAAGCTAATATGTAAATAAGTAATTCTGTCTTTGACTTTCTAACATGTACACATGTTTGTTTCATTCCTTACTTAATTGGACTCACCTTTTTCAATGCCATAACCTGAACAGAACATAGCTCACTAAGACATTCAGTAATCTTATCCAAAGGTAATCTTGCTAGGACAAGCGCTGTCCCTAAAACACAAAGATACAAATGAAGAAAATAAAAGCTGAATTGATGTAATTCAATTAATTCATCTATATCATAAAGATTTAACAGAAAAGGCTGATAACTTCCATTCTTTTAAAAAGTTTAGCACTGTTTTTAGTTCAAGGTCATTTTTTTCTTTATTTGGTTTAGAAGAGTAATAACAAGAGTTAATTTTTCCTTAAAGCCAACTGGCTTAATGATATTAAAATGTGCATCCTGTTCTAATTATTCAACGGCTTTTAACATCTCCTTCACAAAGCCAATACCAAAGCTATTTTTATAGACCATAATGCAATGTTTCTCATTCTTCCCAGAGATTCTGAATTTAATGGGTCAAAAACAGCCTTTACTTTTTGATAAGTGATTCACACAATTCTTACCAAAGAAACACCAACATAATGCTTTTAGGAAAAATGGGCTGAACTCTCCCACTCCCTTCCCCAATAAAAATTTAACTTGGAACTCAATAGGTAAAAAAAAGGTACTTAGGTAGTAAGTTAGGATAAAAGGCTCAGACATTTCTTACCTAGCCTTGCTTGCTGCTGTTCTCAATATATACCCACCAACCACTAAAATATCTCCCTCCTAATTCAAAGAATTACCAAAAACCCCTTGACTGTAATTTTTTTGTCTCCTTAAATTTCATATAACAGAACAGTAATTCATCTCTAATTCTGCAAATTTGACTAAAAAACAGGATGATTTCTTTCCTGGTAGTCTATAACCATGGATGGGTTAGGTATTTCTTTATAAATTTTTTTTGGGGGGTGGTGGTACCAGGGTTTAAATTCAGCCTTGCAGTTGCTGGACAGGTGCACCTGAGCCATATCCTCAGCCCTATACTTTTCTTTACAACTGGTAAGTGTTTGTGTAGGGAGTGAATCTAATTTAAATATAACATTCCTTTTCATTCATTCCTACAGAAAAAAATGTTACTAAAACGTATTTCACATCTAGAAGCTATCACTGATAAACCAGGAGACAATATTGTATCATAGGTTAGACATCACTTCAAGGTGAAATTTCACTAGAAAACGTCAGTGGGGTACCTGGAGCTCACACCTGTAATTATAGCTACTTGCGGGGGCTGAAATAGGGAGAATCACTGTTCAAAACCAACCTGGGCAGATAGGTCTCGAGACCCCATCTCCAAGGAAACCCAGAGCAAAATGGGACTATGGCTCAAGCAGTACAGTGCCTACTTTGCAAGGGTGAAACCCTGAGTTTAAACACCAGTCCCACCAAAAAAAAGAAAATGTCAAAAGAGTATTTGACTGTAATGATTTAATCTCTATCAAGAGAAATAACAAAAACCCACAGTACAAAAAAAGAAAACCTGCCAGGTGCCGGTAGTTCACTACTTGAAATACCCATCACAAAACATGGCTGGGGGAGTGGCTCAAGTGGCAGAGCACCTGCCTAGCAAGTATAAGGCCCTGAGTTCAAACTCTAGTACCAACCAAAAAATTAAAATAAAGGAAAAACACCACAGTCACACCAGCTGGTAAGGAACCTACTCGTGGAAATAAAAGAACAGAATTAATTCATACAAAAGATTATCAATGCTTAAGAAGACACCACATTGAAAAGGCTGTATCATATACTCCAATCCCTGTAATTTACAGACTATCAGGATTTTGCTACCACATGCCAACTTGTCTTTAGAAATTTTGGCCAGAAAGTGTTTTCTTCTTAGAAGTCAGTATATGCTTCCCTTAATAAATGGCTGACAATTGGTTACTCATAAAATAAACAGCCATCATATTTAAAGCCTGTTCTGAATCTTTTATCCTATCCTTAGTATCGCTACTTCTTCTATCAATTTGAGCTCATCACCACTCTGGACGTTTACCTCTAGACAGGCAGCCCCTCAAAGTGTTAGCTGATCAATAATAATAAGACTATCAGAGAGACCAAGACCTTTAGCTTCTACTTATGGCACTGATCCATGCACACTACCACTCAATTTTCATTTACCTCTTTGGGATGGCACTGCCTGCTTATTTTACTCCCTTTTAATTCTTCTCCCAATTTAAAAAGCAACCATGTTTGGTTCAAATGTATTGAACCCAAAATCTAGATCTGTGCTATACATGCTGCAAACAGTGTGAATGAATGAGATAACCTTCAAATACTCTAAAAAGGCATGAGCACATAATCAACACTCTACCTTAAATGGAAGAAGCCAGCTTCACGATCACTTAAGTACATCACAAATGAAAAACTATGCTATAATTGATGTAAGATAAGCCCAAGTAGCGCTTTAGAGGAGACTGTTACTGGTTAGCACCCTAAGTAATTACCTTTCAGCAAGCCCACAGCAGCTTCTGGAGACAGCATGAAGGAATCCAGAGAGCGGGCAATCTCCAGGAGCCCATTAAAGTGCTGAGCCATATGATCTCGGCAGACTGAGCAAATGTTATGAATGGCTTTGGCTGCAGCAGAGGCCAGAGGCTTTTCACATAGGCCTTTCATCAAATAGCCCAACACAGGGTCTAAGGAAAAACAGCCAAGTAGGAAGTATTTATCTGGAACTCAAGGAAAACTTCTAGTTAGAGCAGAGGTTTACATATTTTTTAAGTTAAAAGAACTCTTTAAAATGAAATATTCTAAAAACTCCCAATATAAAAAACAAAACTGGGAGCTGGTGGTGTTGTACAAGTGGTAATGGTCTACCTAGCAAGCACTAGGCCCTGAGTTCAAACTCCAGGACTGCAAAATCAAAGCAAAATAACTCCCTACCCCACCCCACCCCCTGGGGCGTGGGGTAGGGGGGCAGAACTAGAGTTGATCCCTAGTTTGGGGATCTCAGTACTGGGAGGCCTTAAGTCTATCTATTTCATCTTCATTTTCCATGTCTTCCCTCATAGTAGCAAACTGTTTTTTTTAACCCTGTGGATTCATGGAGCAATTTCAAAACCACTGATTTACATGGTCATCTAGGGCTAGCAGAATGGCTCAAGAGGTACAGCATCTGCCTAGCAAGTGTGAGGCACTGAGTTCAAATCCTAGCACTTCCAAAAAATAAATATGGCCATCTATTTAAGAATATGGCAATGTATGAAAGAATGCAAAGCTCGGAGAGATGAATCACTTGGTAAAACAGCTTACATTAACCAGGATACTATCTAAAGCTGACACTTTTATATTTGATTCTAAGTCACAAAAGGTCTTTAAAACATATAAATGAATCTTCTAAATAAATTCACTACATTTTTTTACTAAATTTTTATTTTATCAAACCTAAGTACTCCAAGAAAACTGACTGCAAAGGTGAATTTCTACAGAATAAATTCATCTTTTTACCTTCCTTTAAAAAATTCAGAATGTTTTTCTACAGGAAGCCCTATGAAAGAGTTTAAAAACATTTTATGAGTACTTTAAGCAAGCCATAAAAAAAAAATTGAAGGAATCAAAAGAATAATGTCTTAAAGCTCATTTAGAGCAGATAGAGAAGAGCAGTGGAAGGGGTAAATTCAAGTATGATATATTTGATACACTGTAAGAATCTCTGTACCCCCACCCAGCACAAAAAAAAAAAAAAAAAAAAAACCTCATTCATAACTACTATTGTTTGTTTATTGAGTGATTGATTGCAGTAGTACTGGGAGTCTGAACTCAGGGCCTCATGCTTGCTAGACAGGTACTCTACCACTTGAGCCATTCTGCCAGCCCTTTTTTTGTGATGCGTTTTTTTGAGATAGTGTCTCATGAACTGTTTGCCCAGGGCTGGCTTTGAACTGCAAACCTCCTGATCTCTGCCTCCTGAGTAGCTAGGATTACAGGCATAAACCACCAGTGCCTGGCCATTTATAATCATTATCTCTATTTCTAGTCTAATAACAAACACAATGCAACAACCTAGCTCAGCCTAACCCTTCCCCCAAAGCCTCAAGTCTTGTTAAGACACTCAGAAGACCTAGAATTCTAATAGTGTTCTTTAGTGGTTCTCAAAATGGAGTATTTGTGATTTTGACATTTTGAACATACAGCAAGTTTTTACTGCTGATATACAAGTATGAATGAGACACTATAAAATGGTACTAGACGGTAAGTCTACAGTTTCAACCTAACTTTGCTGCTTACTGGACATGAACTGAAGATATTAAGTTAAAGCAGACAATTTTTGCTTCTTTGTGAAAAAGTGCCTCAGAAACGAAAACCAAATGTTAAGGCAGATAATATAAATGAAGAAATCTAAGAATTAGAAAGCAAGAATTTTGAAAACATTTTAGAATGGTTTATTGAATAGACAGTGGCTCAGTTATAAAGTGAGCATGCCTATCATATGCTCTATGTATAGAAATGAGAAAAAAGAACACATTATGGCAAGTATGTTTTGATGATTAAAACCAGATCATCTGTAAAATAAAATCAAGTAAAATGGTGATAATCAAAATATGCACAGGAGCCGGGCATCAGTGGCTCACGACTGTAATCCTACCTACTTAGGAGGCTGAGTTCAGGAGGATCAAGGCTCAAGGCCAGCTCCTGCATATAGTTTGTCAGACTGCACCTCCAAAATAATCAAGAGTAAAATGGACTGGAAGTAAGGGTCAAGTGGTAGAGCTCCTGCTTTGCAAGTGCAAAACCGTCCACCCAAAAAAACAAAAACAAACAAACAAACAAAAAAGCACAGGAAACACATTAAACTTAATGACATAATACCATTAACAAGTTCAGAGATTCTTTTTATCTCTTTGGTGGTACTGGGGTCTGAACTCAGGGCCTTGCTTGGCAGGCACTCTCACTTCTTGAGCCACTCTGCCAGTCCTTTTTGTGTTGGGTATTTGCAAGATAGGGTCAGGCTTCAAACCATGATCCTTCTGATCTCTGCCTCATGAGTAGCTCGGATTACAGATGTGAGTCATCAGGGCCTGGCAAGGGATTCTTAAAATTCTCAGAATTACCCTAGGTAATTTATTTGCTTTCTTTGGATCTCAGTGTCCTTATCCGCAAATTGAGGGGGTAAGGATAAACAATTTCTAATTCTACCTCTGATTCTAAAGCTATTTTTATACCTTTACTTTTTTATGTTAAGGGCAGCCAGAAGTTATTTAATTCAACACTCTTCATTTTATTTTGTATTTATTTTGTTTTGAATGTAATTCTCAGTTTTTCACATGGAGCATGTATTTAACACAAAAAAAACCTCTCCATTACTTTAGCCTGTTACTAGCTTCTAAGTTAGAACTATGGAAACTAATTAGCTCACACATATGCCAGACTAGTTAAGACAGAAAATGTCCATGCTTAAGCAGACTCATCAAACTTTTTCCCTCTCTGTAGATTTAGTCTTTCAAAGGCCTTTCTTCCAGATTAGATTATAACTGTGTGTAAACTAAGCAACTTACAATATATTTATTATAAGTGTTTACAAACATTCTATCTGTCAATAAAAAAGTAAGCAGGGCCAGGTGCTGGTTGTTTGTACCTGTAATCTTAGCTACTTGGGAGGCTGAGATTGGGAGGACTGAGGTTCAAGGCCAGCCTAGGCAAATAGTCCACAAGACTCCATCTCCAAAATAGCTAGAGCAAAACAGACTGGAGGTGTGGCTCAAGCAGTGCAATACCTGTTTGCAAGTGCCACGCCCTGAGTTCAAACCTCAGTTCCACATAAAAAAAAGAAAAGAAAAGAAAAGAAAAAGACGAAAATCAGGAAATGTAGAAGAATAGTAACAGAGGAGAGAATTCACACATACCAAGGAACTGAGGATTTCGATCAACCACTTCACTCATTTCTCCAACCAACTCAATGCTGGTGTATCGCACAGCTGTATGGACAGTCTCTGGAAGACGAACAACTCCTTCTAGAACCTCCACAAGTGTAGGATTGTTCTCCCTGAGAACAGAAAGCAAGTACTCACAATTACTGACTTCAGAGGTATGTTCTGGCCAATTAATATGCTGCAATGACATCATATTGCCAAAAGACTTCATTCTAATATACTAATCATTCAGATGAAAGTGCTTAACAATGGGTGTGAGTATTTTTCAAATCCTTAAAAAAGCAAAGACAGAAATCAAAGATATTGTTTCAGGAGAAGCATACTGCTCCTTCATATTCTAAATGCCAGGGAAGTGTCTAAAGATACATGATGGAATCAAAGACAGGCACTTCTAATCAGAGAGGAAGATGTTTACAGTGGGTGAACGTCTTCTTTTAAAAAATCTATTTCATTTATTCCTATATCTGCAGTGCCTAGCACATAGTGGACACTGAAAAAAATACTGTTCAATGTTTAGGTGAAAGAGTGACTAACTCTCACAGATTACTTTTCATATGTTATTGGTTTCCAAAAGACTTCTTATGTCTGAATCTCAGAAACTTTAAAAAAATGGGAAGTATAGGTAGGTTAGCTCACTAGCTAAAAGAATAAGAAAACAAGCCTCAGGAGAAGTTAATGTACCCTGATTTAGAACAGGAGGCAAAAATTAATATTAACCAAATACTTTCCACAGCTCCACGAATTTATCACCCCCTCCAAAACAGGAGAAAATTCAGAAATAAAAATGTTTACAAATGTAAATATTATCTTAGATTAGAGCGAGAGCACCCCCTGCTGATAACTAGTTCTATTAAGTCCTTTAAAGGAAACAAAAAATTGTAATCATGTAGTTGATTAAAAATTCAACTGAACAATAGAAAATCTTCTCTCGTTTATGCTTTTTGTTTCCTAGGGACATTGTTATCAAAGACTGTCTACTTGTCACTCATGTATTGGTTAGAATATTAATGATTTTAGCAACTTCCAGACTATTACAGAGGGTTCCAAAAGAAACCAAAATGGCTTTAAAAGCAAATACTATAGTATGTAATTACAGAGTAGAAGTTCCTCTTTCTTCGGTGGTACTAGGGTTTGAACTCAGGGCCCTACACTTGCTAGTCAGGCACTCTTACCGCTTAAGCCTCTCTACCAGCTGGAACTTCTTAATAAAGAAAAATAAATCTACTTATCTCCTTGAATATTTATTGGGTTAGAAACAATTGGGCCCTGAAAGGCAGCTAAGAAAAAAAGCACTGTGCTTCAATATCTACATTAACTATCTTTCCAATCAAAGCCACGAGATTGCAGGTATATGGTCAAAATACAAGGTGACATCATAGATTAATGTATAAACTCATGGTACAAGTAAATTCTGTCTTAAGGATTCATGTCATTAATAGAATTTCTATGCTAAGCAATTAGAAATTAAGTTCAAATAACTTAAAATTTTTCAATGGTAATAACAAAATAATTATCATTTACATCTTGCTATTTCTTTAGGTAAAATAGTTGCCTATACCTTGTCTCTCTGAAACTCATGAATAATTCTCTAGGACAGGGGAAAAGAAAAAGAGAACTATGAAATTAAACCTTGGTAATGATAACTTGATAACTTACCCAAGGTCACAAAGCAGGAGACACAAATTTATACCTGTTCAATTGCTTTCAAGGAAGTAGCAACAATTTACAAGCCTTAGCAAATTCTTAATCAGGCCTAATTTCACAAGGGAGCCTCAGTTGGAAAAATACATCAGCATTGTATTCCTAGCATGAATTTTAACTCTAAGAAATGTATTAAAACATAGCGTCAGCAATGCAGGCTACCCTGGGTTAGACTAAGATTTTCCAACCATAAAACAGAAAAATGGTGAGATTTCCCTTTCTCTTGATATTTAAAGATCCCAGCAAAATACTTATTAGACACTCACGGGTCAACACTCTTTGCTATAGCAGCCATGATAAAGAGAACCGCTTCTGTCACCTCCCAGGGTGGGTTGCCTTCTTTCAGAGTAGAATATAACTAGAGAAGAAGAGGTGGATTATGGATCCATTAAAAGGAAAACAGAATTCCAAAACAACAAAAAAATGTGGGTTAGTTTTGCTAAATCTAATTATCTCACAGAGACAGCCAAGAACATTTTTAAAAATTTTTTATATCCTCACTAACTAGAAGTAACTATTATGTTAATATTTAAATACAACCATTTAGAACAAAAAGAACTTACCAAGATTATCATTTGCCCCCAGAAAATCAGTATTATGGGAAAAACAAAACATATTACGTAACTGTCTTTTTATGATCTTGATAGCTAATAAATATATAAACACATTAAAAATGGAGATACAATGCAAGTCCTCTATGTCTGTATAGGCTTTACAATTCTATTACTTTAAGCATTTGTTCGCATTAACACTGACAGTTCAGGTTAAATTCCTAAGAAACAGCTGTTTAGAAGGACCCGTTCCAATCCCATATACAAGCACTTTTTTTTTTTTTTTAAAGGTAGACCTCACAGAGTACTGAAGAGATGTTCTGGTCCAGAATTTTCCATTTATGGAATATGACTATGTATTAGTCCAAGAAAGACTTCTACAGTCACATAACAGATCATAAAATTAAACAACTCTCTTATATGACTTCACAGAGCCTTTAATATACTGTAGATATTTACATCATTCCCCAATTTTAACTGCCAATTTAACCTATTCTTTTTCTGGCCAAAGAACATCTCCTGGGCTGGTGTTCCACAGAACATATCTTGGCAACACTGACCACTGATACAAGTTTGCAAACTGAAGTTAAAGGCAGAGAGCCATGAAAAAAGAGCTGCAATCTGAGTACTGCTCATCTGTCTACAATCTATGAACCTCATGGAATCTGCTTTCTAAGAATGACCAACTCTTCATAGCGGAGCCAAAACACATGCTTTGTAATAAGAGTTATAATTTTATTAACACTTCATAGGAAAATTATGCTCCAAATATACAAAAAACAATTGAGTTACTTCCCTCCATTTTTTCTTTAGGTCACTTTAGTATTGTTGTAACAAAGCATCCAAACTAGTATTTCACAGCTCACAAAATGATGATCCAGCAATACAAAAAAACCTGAAATTATGCTAATGTTAAGTGAGGTGAAATGATGATGACTGCAAACTTATGAGGTAAAATGTTACTATCAAGAAAACCACAGGACTATGAATCTTCTACTCTAGTGTAGGCATTTCTTTATATCCATGCTAGTCATACATGTGGACAAAGAAAATGCCAAATAATTAAAGGAGATGTCAGGAGTTGGTACATAATTATTAAAGCAGGAAAAATTTGCCTATCTTCCATACCAACTGCACTAGTAGAACAGTTCTCATTAGCAAAAGTAATATAGTAAACCATAACTGAATTATCCACAGACTGAACCGGTTTGTCAATAATAAGTAAATACAACTACTGTATGCCAGGCAACTTGCACGTCTATTATCTCATTTGGCCCCTGAGCTTGAAACAGTAAAATAGGACATTTACAGAAGACACGGAAGAAAAAGCAAGAAAGGAGATCAGTAAAACTGGCCCAAAATACCCAAATGAGCTTACCTGAGCAAAACACTCCATGGACCCAATCAAGAAAATCAAGTCCTTCACCAGGTCTGATACCCTCATCCGAAATTCCCCAAAGTCATCAGTCTCCTCAGGAACTCCCTCCTGAAATTTCAAATCAGGCAACATTTATTTTAAAACTCACTGAAGTTTTCAATGACCTTTATAAAATCAACAGAGAAGAAAAGGACAGAGCTTGGGGATAGTGGCTCAAGTGGTACAGCACTTGCCTAGCAGGTGCAAGGCACGAGTTCAATCCCCTATACTGTTTAAGAAAAAAAAAAAAAAAAAAAAAGCAGCCAGTCCCAATGAACCAAAGTTAAACAAGAAAGGATATTTTACTGTAATACTATAATAGACCATCTCCCAAACAAATATGGCAACACAACTTTAGCTTTGAAAAAACTTCAGTGTGTATGTGTTGTATTCTCAGTCCATATCTTGTTTTCTTTTTGGAACAATGTGGGGTGGTGTGCTGAGAAGTGATCTAAAGAAGTGGTAAAGTAAGAGTTACAAGTCTATCAAGAGAAGGTCAGCTCTTTAGTTTCTGAAGCCTTTGTTTAAGATCTTCAAAAATCAACCACTATCATAGTAACTTCACATAGAAAAACTTTAGACTTTAAACCCTTCCTATCCAAAGACACTTTTCTTTAAAAAAAATAAACAAACATATAAAGGGAGGGGCTTACCAATGAATTTTGAGATGGTTAAAGGCATGTATGAGAATCTTGGGAAGTGAGTATCTAGAAAAAGCCCTCAGTACTTCTGAAATCTGTTGATCTAGTTCAACCTTAAGGTAGAGGTGTTGAAGGTGTGGTTCAAGAGGCAGAGCAAGAGGCCCTGAGTTCAAATCCCAGTGCCACCAAAAAAAAAAATGTAGGTGGAGGAATGAGAAAATGATGGCTGTCTCAGAAGTAATAATGGATAAAATTATAAAGTACTATACAACTTACAAGGCACTATACATTTAAAAGTATAAGAAAATACGTGCAAAGGAAATGGTACCACTGAACTAGCAAAGGGAAGGGGATCAAATAAGTAAACCCACTTAAAATACAGCAGTCCTGGTTTTATTTACATGTCAGTTTTCCAAGTAAGATGTAGTTAAAATAGGATTCCTCAGTTTAAAACAAAAAGTGGTTGAAAACCACTACACTAGATCATCACTATGGTTCTGTGGAGATACAAAATGTAAAACTTAACCACAATATTAACATTAAAATTAAGAGACAAGCATATCAGATCTAATTACAAACAAATTTACTCCAGATCCTAGATTAAACCAACCAAACAAAAGGATGAAATAAATGAGGCAAACTCTGAAGACCCTACTGTAGAGAATGGAGATTGCAGTTTCCAATGGAGTATTTTATATTCTAGGTTTTCTGTTAAGCAAATAGATTTTAAATAACAAAATCAGTCTAAGTAATAATAAAGAAAATGTACATGCACATGGGGGAATTAATTACATAATATTCAACATCTTCACACAAATATTTCACTTTTGTGTTAGTTTTTAATCTAACCACTACTAGAAACAGAGTATAAGCCACGGTGGCACACACCTGTACTCTGAATTTGGGAGAGTGAAGCAGGTGGATCAAAAGTTTGAAACCAGAGTTGAGCTACACAGAGTTCAAGATCTGGGGATATGGCTTGATGGCAGAGCACTTGCCCAGTATGTGCCAGCCCCTGTGGGGGGGAGAGAGGATTCTTTTTTCCTTTTTTTTTTTTTGGCCAGCCCCTGGGTTTGATCACTAGACCACACATACTCATATATACACACACAAAATAGAATTCTACATTTTGATTTTTTTCACTTAACATACTAATTATTACTATTTCAATATTTATCATTTTAAACTGCTACATTTTGGTCCATCAAGTTGCTATATCATAATCACTACTAGACATAGCTTACCATATTTTTATTTTATAGATAACGCTTGGTACATAAAATGGCTATTTTTTTCTTCTGTAAGATTATTAAAGATAAATTCCTAGGAGAAGAATTATTGACTCAGCAGGAGCTCTCTTTTTTTTCTCCCTGATAGGCCTAATCTTTATCATACTGGTATTGACTTCTTCACTGTAAGCCAAATGAAAAAACATGAAGATTCCATTAGCCCTATTCTCTATCTTTTTAGTTTCTTTTCAAATCAGCTCTGAAGAGAGGAGGAAATGAAGATCTGAAGAAGTAGAAAAGGGAACTTACGTGGTCTGGTTCTAGCTGGCAGTGTCGAGCCAAAGCATGAAGCAGCCTCTGAATGTAAGCTTTGAAGATGCCATGAATAACCTCATCGTTAGTTTTGTATAAATGCTCTCCTAGCCGGTACCAGAAGTTAAAGGAAATTTCTACTACCTGTCAGATTAAGAGAAAAGAGATGGTTTATTTGAATGGGAAAGGAATGGAGTAAGAAGACAGTTTAATTATTACTAAAACCAAACAGGGAAGGAGACACTTTACATAGCATAGATGGAAGCAGTTAGGAAGCCACCTTTTCTTTAGTATATATTCTCCCAAATGTCTCCCCATGTCCACTTAGGATGACTTGCTTTACAGTTCTTATTTACTTCTGAGGTAACGTCAGTCAAACTAGACTAGATGTTTAATTTAGAGAACCAGGGAAATGGAAGTCTTTTTTTTTTTTTTGTGGTAGGACTGGCTTGCAAAGCAGGTGCTCACTGCTTGAGCCACAGCTCCAGCTAGAAATGGAAGTCTTGTAAAACATCTTTTTCCTAAATTCTGAAACCCATTTCATTATGTTTGAGATCAGAAGATTTACCAGGCAAGTCATCCATAATTCCCTGAATATAACTCAGGTCATTTCCATTTGCCTGCTTTCTTGAGAGAGAAATGGAGAAAGGGCCTTGGATTTTACTTACAGCTGATCTTCAGTATGGTACTACTTACAGGAGTGATTGTTACTGTGTATTTCTATACTTCTCCAGAAAATGTTTTGGGGTTCCATTCATAACAAAGATATCCTTAGTTATGTTTATGTTTTTGTTTTCTCCTTTAAAAAAAAGCCAGGTTAGTGGCTCGCCTATAGTCCTAGCTCCAATGGGAGGTAGAAATCAGGAGGACTGTGGTTTAAGGTCAGCTTGAGCAAAAAATTGAGGAGACTCCATCTCAATCAATAATAAGTTGGGCAGGGACACACCTTTCATCCTTGCTATACAGGAGACATAAACAGGAGATCGAAGTCCAGGCCAGCCTGGGCATAAAAGTGAGACTCTATTGGAAAAATAATGAAAACAAAAAAGGGTTGGAGGGAAAGGGGGCGCTCAAGTGGTAGAGTGCCTGCCTAGCAAGTACAAACTCTGAGTTCAAACCCCTGTACTGCAAAAAAAAAAAAAAAAAAAGTAGCCAGGCATGGTGGTACAAGCCTGTAATCCTAGTACTCAAGGGGCTGAGGGTGTGTGAATTCAAGGTCAGTCTGGGCTACATAGTGAGACTTGGATTCAAAACAAAACAAGAGTTGAGTATGATGTAGTTCAGTGGTAGAGTATTGCCTAGTGAAGGGATTACAGGCACACATCACCACACCCAGCTCATATATATATGTGTATTTGTGTGTGTGTGTGTGTGTGTGTGTGTGTGTGTGTATTTTTTTTTTTTTTGGTGAGACTGGGGTTTGAACTCAGGGCTTCACACTTGCAAAGCAGGCATTCTTCCACTTGAGCCACATCTCAGGTCCATTTTGCTTTGGTTATTTTAGACATGGGGGTCTCTTGAACTATTTCCATGGAATGGCCTTGAACATTGATCCTTTCCATCCTGGCCTCCCAAGTAGCTATGATTACAGGTGTGAGCCACCAGTGCCCTGCTTAAAGATTTTTCACTAAAGATGATTTTTATTTATTTTAATGAACTTGCCGGTATTGAAGCACAGGATTTGCGGGCTTTGCAAACACAAGGCTCTAATGGCTCTGCAGCCACACCTTCCAGTTAAAAGGTTTTGAATGAAGCGAAACCTTACATCTAAGAATCCATTTCTTGGATCTGGGAACTAGGCCGAAAAAGGCTTAGTTCCAAGAAGAATTATTTAAACAGGTAACACACAAGCCTACAGAGAAAGCAATGCAAGTCAACTCTGTATAGCTATCCTTAATCTCAACTTAGCAAAACCCTTGCGTCTCCTAATTATTGTTATATACTCTCTCTTCAACAAAATTAAGAAGAGTTAAGGGCAAAATAGTTATCTAGCCTGGTAGCGAGAGGGATGCGAGAGAGGACGGGATGGGAGGCTTAAGGAAGGAGTGTGGAAGTCGGCCGAGAAATGACCCAAAACATTGTATGCACAGATGAATAAAAGAAAAATAAATAATTAAAAGTGACTTTCAGGTAAGAAAAAAAAATCCCTTTCTCATTCACATCCTTAATTTTAAGAAAAATGTGAGGTGTGAAGACTTGGATTGTGAACGTGCTCCCAAAGGTCCATGTGCTGAAACCTTGGTGGTGCCACTGAAGGGTTGTAGACCTCTTCCCCTCTTCCTTCCACACCTGGCTACCATGAGGTAAACAGGCTCTGTTACTTAAATTCTCCACCAGGATTTATTGACTCTCCATAGGCCCAAAAACAATGGGTACAACAGAGCATAGATTAAAACACCCCAAAAATGTAAGCTAAAATAAACGTTTCCTGTCTTTTAAGTTGATCATCACAATTACTTTTTTATAATAATGGAAAGCTTAACTAAGAGTATGATTTTTAGCTGTAAAGCTCTAGAGCACAAGTAAAGCTATAAAGGGGGCTCTGCAGGAGGCTGGAGATGTGGCTCAAGTGGTAAAGTACCTGCCTAGCAAGCACCAAAGTCATGGGTGAAACCCAGTACTTCATGGAGTGGGGGAGTGAAAGGAAGAGGAAGAAAAAGAGGACCCAGTGGAAAGTAACAGGCTTTCTTTCTAACAGGTTCTTTGAGGTGCCTACAAACAATCAACCCAGATAAGCAAATAAGAAAACAGAAAAGAATGCAAAGCTGAAACGCAAATACAATTTAAAAAATATTCTAAAAAAAATTCTAATACATAGGAAATTCCCATATCACATGAATTAAAAACAAGATTATAATTTCTCGAGAATAAAAGGGACGGCATGAGTGAATAGAATACACATACTATGAAACACACAACATAGAGAGCAATGGCCTTAGCACAATACACGTACTACCTCATACTGAGGATGCCCGGCGCAGATAAGAAGCAGTTCTAGAGTTCGGAGGTCTCCCAGACCTTGGCCTGGTGTACAGACAATTTTTTCAAGAAAAGTTTCACATAGTTCAGTAAAAATACGGCAATAATTCAGAACTCTGCAGAAAGAAGGAGAGCACCAAGTCAGAAATCGAATATTTATACTTGTACATACTCACAGATAAAATGAGTCAAAAATAATACAAGGTTCCTCAGCCTAAGCCAACATTTATACTACGCTCTAGCACTATTTTCTACAGCAGATACCTCTATCTACAGCAGAGACACCAACTAACTTATACAGCGTAAGTGACTAGTAAGTTCAAATTACAATTCACTAAAGCATCTGCAACAAAAATTCCTATTCGCATTACACTTGATATTTTAAAAAGTTATCCCTAATATTACAGCCTTTCCTATCTTTAGCTGCAAAACTTAGGTACTTAGTACTGCAATACTACAACCTCTCTATACCCAAATTTGCCACTCTAGATTCAAGCCAAGAATACTAACCAGTAGTTATAAGCGATGGACAATTTCTTATAATTTACATCACCAGAGAATCACAAATGCCCTGGCGTGAATCAATAATACTCACTTTGTCTAAATCTTCACGTTGCCACAAGCCATATGGTAGGCAGCTCTCCAATGTCAGGACCTCCTTGAAAAAAGCTAGCATGGCTTAAAGCAAAGCTTAGTCTCCACATTCCCTCAATGGCATAGCCAGAAGCTGAGCACACACAGTCGTGAAGCAGCTCGTGTAGATTGCCCCCGATGAGTTTTAATTATCCTGTTTCCTGAAACGGTAACAGGGAATACAGAAGCCAAGAAGTATGGTCAATCCAAGCTAAGAACAAAAATAATTCCTGGCCTCCTTCTGAGAATGTACTTCAAATGTGTAAGGTTCAGCTATTGTCTTTCTTTTATTTTTTTTTTTTTGTTTTTTTTTTTTTTTGTTTTTTCTTTTTTTTTTTTCTTTTTTTTTTTTTTTTTTTTTTTTTTTTTTGTTCTTTTTTTTTTTTTTTTTTTTTTTTTTTTTTTTTTTTTTTTTTTTTTTTTTTCTTTTTTTTCTGGCCTTCCACAAGACAACATCCATTCAATCTTCCCAATCCTACTGCTGGACGTGCTGGCACAGAGTGGCTCACAGTGGCTAGCATGCCTGCCTAGCAAAAAAAAAAAAATGTGTGAGCCCTAAGTTCACACCCTAGTGCGTAAAACACCACCCAACAAAACCTCACAAACCCTACTGCTGACTAGTCCAATAGGCCAAGGCAAATCAGCCCTTTTTTTATTTTTGTACCTCAGACACTTTTTTTTTTTGGTGCGTACTTTTTGTGTTTAGTTTGAACTCAGCGGCCTACTCCTTGAGCCACTTAACCAGGGGTCTTGTTTTTTAGCTGATTTTTTCAGATAGTATCTCTCAACTATTTGCCCCCAGGTTGGGCTTCGCTTCAAACCATAAATCCTCCTGCTACTCTTGTCTGCCTCTCCCGAATAGCTAGGGCATAAGGCATGAGCCACCAGTAGCCTTCGCTCCAACTTTCTATTAATTAATTATACATGCCTAGTAAACAAGAATGAAACCTTTAATGTTTTAGCGGAAAACTATAGGACCTAAAACTCGATCATTATCCAGTCAGCCCCATTAAACAAGAATGAAAAACCAAATAAAATTCTTGGGCATACAAAACTCTGAATTTTGCCTTTCGGTATCTTTCATAGGAAGTATTTAAGGCGTTTCAAAAAAATAGTTTAATCTAATCCAAAAGCAAAATCCAAGAATTGGTAATTGGGGAACAGCATCTATAAGAACAAGCGCAATAAAATTTAGATGGATCAGAAAGTCCAAGGAAGATTCAGGCAAGGTGACACAAGATGCTGAGGCTGGAGAACTGGCAAGTTCAAGGCCAACCTGGGCTACTGAGCAAGACTGTCTCAAAAGAAAGGTTCAAAGAGAGAAACTCCAGGATTTTTATTTAAGAGTACACTGAGCCAGGCACCAGCTCAGCTGTAATTCTAGTACTTATGGGAGGCTAAGAACAAGAGGATCGCAGGTTCGATGGCAGCCAGACAAATAATTCCTGAGTATCCCATCTTCCAAAATAATCACTAGTAAAATACCAGAGGCATGGTTCAAGCCAGCGAGAGCACCTACTTTGCAAGTACAAGCCCTGAGTACACAAACCACAATCCCACCCAAAAAAAAAAAGTGAAGGCATATTAGTCATTCTTGCAATAATTAAAAAACAAGGGCTTTTAGAACCTCTATGAGGGAAAAAAAAGATTACATACATAAGTAGGGTTGGAGATTATACAAAACATATCATTCATTAGGTATATTCTTAAGACTGAGTGTGGTAGGTTTCAAAGACATTAATTATATTCAATGTTTAAAAGTTAGATAAAATGTTCAAAGTTATTCTTCTGTACATATCAAATATGTATTACTTTTTTTAAAATTTTAAGACTATTTATGTGGGGAAATTATATAAGAAAGTCTTATTCCAAACATAAAGCAAACTAAAATGTGTAATGACCTTGATTCTGAAAACACTCTTCTTACTAATGGCAGTGGGGTCCTGACATGGGATCAGAGGAGAAAATAATATAATCTTGGCACAATATGGAGTTTTTCCTTACCCAAATCTTTAATTCCACAAGTCACTGTTAAGTCTGAACTGTATTCTAGACTTTCCTCTATTCGTTGTATAATCATGAGTTCTTCTAACTCATGATTTAAAAGTGGGATTTGATTTTACTAAAAATGACTACTCTGCATAATCTGATGACTATGAGAAATTAAAATTAATGTTACTGCATCCAAGAGGCATGAAGACACAGATAAGGACTAGCAGAATAATCAGCATTGTAACTTATTGAGTTTTTGATGTTGCTGAGTTGCTTCTGACGCAAGAACAGCAGCACACTAACAACAATGAAACGGCATTGTCCCCCTGAAAAATGTGCTTTCCCTTTTTTAATTCACAGTGATAATCAGATAGTATGTTACTATCTTCTAAAACATAATGTATCACATACATCCAATATACACAGAGCTGCTACTCTAATACACTTCGTTAAAGAAACTCTCTAAGAGAAAAAGACAAAGCCATTTACATCACCAAAGACTTTTCAATATTAGTGTTTTAAGATAGTACTATGTTTCTTGTTATAAAATCGAGTCCTGGACTGGTGGAGTGGCTCAAGTGTAAGAGCATCTTGCCTAGCAAGCATGAGGCCAAGTTCAAACCCCAGTGCTGCCCAAAAAAAAAAAAATCAAGTCTTACTTTAAGCATTCACTGACTCCTTCCTATCAAGATATGTCATGGTAATGTCAAAGGCCCATAGCCCACTATTAAGATACACTATTTAGAGTCAGCCATTGTGCGCTCACGCCTACAATCCAGCGCACTAGGAGGCGAGAGATCAGGAGGAACTTGGTTGGGAGGCCAGCCTAGAGCCAAACACGAGTCCCATACCTAAAAACTGACCTAAAAAGCAAAAAAGGGCTGGAGGAGTGGCTCAAGTAGTAGACACCGGACTAGCAAATAAGGCTGAGTTCAAACCCCCAATATCACCAAAAAAATAGAGTGTAACAAGGTTAGACCTTCTATAAAAAATATAAGACCAATGGTTGTTACTTGGATTTTAGTATGTAAATCATTTAATTGTATATAAGACAGTTAAGTTTATTCTGCTCTACATTCTATGTCAAATATTAAAACTGGTACCTTTAGCTTGGTTCTTGACAGCAAGAAAGGGACACTATGAATTTCTTACAGTCACTGTGCAGAAATCTGAAAAAACCCTGTACGTCCCAGGTCAGTTTCTAATTGACAGTGCAGGAATACTTTAACAAACAAAGCCATAACTTACCAAAACCTCGAAAAGGAGCGCTAGTAACTTATTGTTAGCCATGAAGTTACTGTCCAAAACTCCCAAGTTAAACCAACTTCCCAAACAGCGAAAGACCTTCATAAGCATTTTTTCATCTGTTCCTGCTTTTTCTACACAGGTCATCTGAATAGAATAAAAATTAAAACAAAATTTTTACATAAATCTTTATATTTAAACCTTATCACAATCGTCTTACAAGTGTAATAATGAAAAGGATGACAATGCTAACAGTTAAAAGTACTTGGTATCTGCCAGTGTTCTACACACCATTAATCTATTTAATTTCCAATAAAACTCTATAGGTAGATAATTTATTATCTACTCTTTCTTGATGGGGACACAGAAGATATAGACTTAGCTCAAAATAGACATGTTTCAGAAATAACTTACTAGATTTCTTAGTTCCCACTTTTGCATTAATGTAGTCTTATCATCACAATTGTTTTTAAAGTGACATTTACTCATCAAATACCCGATCATCACAGAACAGAAATAAGCTTGGATACCACTGTACAGTCCCACATGAAAATTGGCACATAAATACTCTAGTAAATATGTCATTCCACGGAGTGACACTACTATAAATAAGATATATTATAAAAGGAGATAAAATATGAATCAGACTATAACTCACCACCTTTTTTCTTTGCAGACTGTTTTTGTGATATATATTTTCACCAAAGTAAAGTATAATGCAACTTTTTCTAGTTTTCAAGATAGAGCTGCATGCTGGGTGCTAGTGGCTCACACCTATAATTCCAGCTACTCAGGAAGCAGAGATCAGTCAGTTCAAAGCCAGCCCAGGCAAATAGTTCTCAAGACCTTATCTCCAAAAAACCCCCTTCAGAAAAAAAGGGCTGGTGGAGTGGGCTCAAGTATAGGCTCTGAGTTGAAACCCCAGTACAAAAAAAAAAAAAAAAAAAAAAGATAGCTTTGACAGTGGGTTAGAAAACATAGCTGCCATCATGGAATCATGGCGTCAGAAGGCACCTGGGGTGGGAGTGAAATCCCATACTAGATATCAAATCAGACCTAAGATCTGGCACTTGTACTTCCAAGTAAGCCTATGCGTTCATCATTAGGCAATTGATGATTGCATGCTTCCTAATTAGTTGATTAATAATAAACTGACTTAAAATGAAAAGAAAATATTTAAGTAAGTTCTATGGCAACCACAGTTAAACAGTCAAGACTCTAATATTTGTGTTTACATTGTAGATATAAAAAAATACAAGAAAATCCTCTAAATCAAAATTTCATTTATCACACAACTCCATTGGACATAACTGTTATTTAGTGTCCTCCAAGAAGAGCTATATTACTTGCCAAAGATGAAGAGAGTGGGTTAATACATGACTATGTACCATGTCATTTCCACAGAAACTGCTGAAAAATCAAAAAAAGTCAATTTTAAACCAACTTTTCTTCTAAGAAGGCAGGAAAAGGAAGACAGAAAAGCAGCACAAGCATATTAATGTACTTGATTCCCTCTGTTTTTCTATTTTATCATGGGCATTACATTTAGTTGAGGAGAAGCAGGAAACACATAATAAACTGACCAGTCATCATAAGTATCATTTACTGAGCCCTTACTATGTGCCAGAAACTGCTTTAAGACCTTGACATTCATTAACTTACTAAATCCTCAAGAAATGCTATATTATACTATTACAGAAATGAGAAACTGAGGCAGAGGGGCTAAGTAATTTCTTCAATGTGGCACAACTAATAAATAGCACAGCCAAGAAGCAACATTAAGAAATCGCATTTCAGCTAGACACCAGTGGGCACCTGAAATCCTAGCTACTTGGGAGGCAGAGATCAGGAGGATCGTGGTTCGAAGCCAGCCCAGAAAAATAGTTCTTGAGACCCTATCTCAAAAAAAACCCATCACAAAAAAAGGGCTAGTGGTGTGGCTTACGGTATAGGCCCTAAGTTCAAGCTGAGTACTGAAAAAAAAAAAAAAGTTCTATTTCGAAAGCTATCAATCTTAATCACAACACTCTTGCTCATCTCCAAATCACTCTATTTGCTTTTTCATATACAGAACAAATATCCCATTAATAATCAAGGATCTCATTCTAAAGAAACAACTACTAGCAGGCAGACTTAATATATTACTATGATCTTACTTAGTATATTATTATGCAATAATATATAATGACAATAATTAGAATATTACCAAAGAGTGACAGAAAACATTGAGAACATATGGAAACAGAATATTTGTAACTAATAGTATCATAACCTGATTTCTAAGCAATTTCTTATTTTTAAAAATTGACTTAATGCAGACTTGGGACTCAGCTGGTAGGTAGCTAAGAAGTGTTAAGTGTATATAAGGCCCTATTTAATTCAGCACCAAAATATAGCCCCCAAAAGACAAAAAAAAAACCCACATTCATTTCTGCTCATTTCCATTTACCGTGTGTATGCTGCTTTATATATGCTTGTGGAAGAAGGGTGGAGCTGTATCTAACTTGCAGGAGAATTAACATATAAGTACAACTATTTCCATGAGTTTATGTCTAGGCTATGAATGACTTCTGAGAGGCATGTCACTGTCTAAAACAACAAATGAACCCGCAATAGTATATATCTATGGAAAGAGGGACAGTGGAAAAGAAGAGTTGAGAACCCCTGCATTAAAGGAGAAAGTACTTGTAGAAATAACTGGAAAACACTAAGTTCCACTCCTCAGATTAAGTAGCTCTTCTAGCCAAATGTTCTTAAAGATTTTCTGGGGCCCTTTGTTCCCTTGATCCTCAAGACACAAACATTTAGAGATGCCAGCAGTTGCCTGGGGTCACTAAAATGCTCAGTTTAGAAAGTGCTATGACACTTTTTTTTTTTGTTTATGATGGGACTAGGGTTTGAATTCAGGGCTTTGTACTCACAAAGGAGGCACTCTACTGATTGAGCCACACTGCCAGTCCATTTTGCTTTGGTTATTTTGGAGATGCGAGTCTAGGAAACTACTTGTCCAGACTGGCTTTGAACCATGATCCTCCTATCTCAGTCTCCCAAGTAGTTAGGATTACAGGCTTGAGTCACTGGCACCTGGCTGACATTAACATATTGCAATGAACAAATTAATGCACCTAAGAAGAATTCTTATAGCAGGAATAAACTTTAATAAGGTTCAGAGCTGAAAGTAGCAAACAGTATACAGTACTAAGTTTACTTACATGAATCAGAGCCTCTGAGAGATTTCTTTGTTAGTACTGATACACACTGATTCATAGACTCTCCTCTTGAATCGTTGAAGCCCTTCATATAAACTCATTATACAACTGCTTGGTCTTTATGCTCTATGAATGGCATTTCAGTTTGGGGGAATTTGGAAAGAGGGGCAATATTGGGGTTTGAACTCAGGGCCTCACGCTTACTAGCAGGCATTCTACTACTTGAGCTACTCCATCAGCTCTTTTTGTGTCAGGCATTTTCCAGATAGGGTCTCGAAAACTATTTGCCTGGGCTGGCTTGAAACTCCAATCCTCCTGACCTCTGCCTCCCAAATAGCTAGGATTACAGGTATGAGGCACCAGCACCCAGATTTATTTCCATATTCTTTAGCATTCTCTTTACTTCTTACTAGACCCCCTCTCATTACTGTAGCACCCTCCCATTGCAGTTAATAATTCATATTTAAATGCTCCTGTTCAAATGAACAAAACCCCTTAAGTCCACAATACTTCAAAAAACAGAAAATCACAGGGCTGGCAGAGTAGATCAGGTGTTAAGAGCACCTGCCTAGCAAGCATGAGATCCTGAGACCAAATTCCACTGCCACCTTAAGAAAAAAAAAAAGATACAAAAAGTGAAAAAAAAAAAAAAATCACACTGAAGAAGAAAACTGCTTTAAAACAGATCTAAAACAAATCTTTAGAGACAGGCATGATGACTGACACCTGTAATCCTAGCTGCTCAGGAGGCAGAGATCAGAAGGACTGCCAGTCTGGGCAAAAGTTACTGAGACACTATCTCAAGTAAGTTAAGTGTGGTGGCTCAAGCCTGTCACCTAAGCTACACAGGAAGTATAAACAGGAAGATCATGGTCCAGGTCACCTTGGGCATAAATGTCAAGACCTTATTCAAAAACTAAGTAAAGCACAAAGTGGTACAGCTCCTAGTAACCACAAAGCTCTGAGTTCAAACTCCAGTACGGGGTGGGGGGGGGGTGCCCACACAACCCCAAATCTTCATTTTGTGAGTAGAAAATTTTAAAACTCAAGATGCATTCTATCTTTCTGATAGGAATTCAGAAAAATGCCAACTAAGACATAAATAAAAGGAATGACAGAATTAGTAAAACAACATTTTACAAGCCATAATAAAATTATTAACTAAAGATTATCAACTAATGGGGGAAAGGGGAGATAAAAGAGAAGGATGAAAAAGGTGAATTTAACTAAGATAATTTGTAAGCATTTCTGTAAATGTCACAATGTACCCCAGTACAACAATATGATAATAAAAAAAGATTATCAACAAAAACTTAAAACAATGAGGTAGAAGGCTGATAATAAAAATTAGGCATTCCTAAAATAACAAGCTAAACAAATTACATTACAAAAGGGAAAGTAGGGCTGCTGGAGTGGCTCAAGTGGTAGAGCACCTGCCTAGCAAGTGTGAGACCCTGAATTCAAACCCCAGTGCCAAGGGAAAAAAAGAAAAAGAAAGCAAAATTTAAAAAAAGGGAAAAATCAGACTATCATCACCTTCATCCAGTGGTCACTCCTAGTATCATTAATGCCCTATTATCCAAATATCATATAACTTCTGAGAAGATGCAGCATGAAATAACTAAGGTATGTTTTGGACAAAACTGTTTAACTTTTTTAAACTAACCCATCAAGTTTCTGTTTTTCTCAACGGGATTCTGAGAAAGAATTAAACCCTAAAGAAAAGGATCTCAGTGACTATTTTCTCAAGTATCCTCAGGATATACTTACTTTCCTTATTAATGACAAGCAGACAATTCATTACATCCAATGGATGCCTTAGGGCATAAGGCCTAATTCTTTTGACAAGCCCCTAATGAGTAGGACTACTTTTAAATTTCCAATTAGATGAAATAAAGAGACTACAAAAACAAGCTATATGAAACAAGAAAGAAGCAATCAGAAAATCTAGAACATAAGACATTTGCTACAACAATTGGGACAATCTTTTCAACAAACCATTACATTTTGAAAAGGGAAGAGGAAAGGGAGCTGTAATTACAAACTTAAAACAGGCATGGCTCTAAAGCAGGTATCATTTACAAAAACTCTGTAATAAGTGGGGAAATGTAAACATGGTCTGAAAACTGATATGAAAATTTTCTAAAGTGGAAAGATGACTGAAAAAGTGGGGTGCAGAAGAGTAAGTAAAATATAATCTCATTTGGTTAAAAAAATCTATCTATCTATCTATCTATCTATCTATTTATAAAGGATACATATCAAAGGGTCAACAACAGCCAATGCAATGGCAGTGGCATGCCTGTAGTCCTAGCTACACAGGAGGCTGAGGCACCAGATCACTTGAGCCTAGGAGTTCTGAGATAGCCTGGGAAACAGTGAAATGACCCCCTGCCAATAAACAAACACCATCTCAATAAACAAACAAAAAGAGCTAGGCACAGGTGACTCCAGCTATAATCCTAGCTACCTGGCAGATTGTGATCGTAAGGATTGAGGTTCAAGGTCAGCCTGGGCAAATAGTCCACAAAACCCCAGAGCAAAATGGGCTTGAGGTTTGGCCTAGAAGAACACCTGCTTTCCAAATGTGAAGCCTTGAGTTCAAACCCCAGTACCACCAAAATAACAAACAAACAAAAAGAACTGAGGTTGTAGCTCACCAATCAAGTGCTTGTCTAGTACTCATGAGGCCCTGAGTTTAGTTCCTCATACTCCAAACCAAATATAAGTAACTAAATAAAAATACAGGATATGATCTCTAAGAGGTTTGAATATAATTGCTCTTTATTTTCTAAAATACTACTTCTTCCTGGTAGAGTGGCTTAAGTGGTAGAGCACCTGTGTAGCAAGCGTGAGGCCCTGAGTTCAAACCCTGGCACCACCAAAAAAAAAACAAAAAACACTCAATCCCAGGCACCAAAAAAAAAAAAAAATATATATATATATATATACATACATTATATATATATATACACACTCTACTTCTTTAGAATAAATGACCAATTAAAAAAATTAAACATATATTTAACTTAAAATAATTTTACAATAAATTTAACACCAAATGGAATATAATTTTTAACAAAATTTTGTTTTCTCAAATAGACCTATGATGTTCCAGAAGTACTTAAATCCTTGAAAAATAATCTACTGTAACTACGTTGAGAAAATTAAGACTGGACTATGAAGACCTATGCACACCTATCAGGAAAGGCCCTGGGTTCAAGACCTAAAAATGAGACATGGACTAATCAATTTAATACTGTCTATTTTGGAAACAAGTAGACACTTTCATTTAAGGGACAGATAGTAAATATTTTAGGCTTTGCAGGGCATATGTCTCTGTGAAAACTATGAATTCTGCTGATATAGTCTTAAATAATAGACATGGACACGTAACCAAATAGGCCCAGCTGTGTTCTAACAAAACTTTATTTGCAAAAATAGCAGCCCATCTACCATGAATTTACCACCCCTGGTCTATCTAAAAGCATTAAAATTTTCAACTAATCAAGAGAGACCTAGTACGTTAATTTTAAAAAAATGTATTAGCTAATATATAATTATGATATTACCCTATCAAAATTTCAGTTTGTCTTTGAGAGGATCTTTTCCTTAGTAAAGTAAGTTTACTTCACTTTTTTCCTTTAGCATGGTTCTTTATCAACAGCCAACAGCTTGTAGCATGAAATACTAGAACAGTATAGGGTATACTACAATCAGAAAACCTCAGTTCAAATTCTGAATTAATGGTTGTGTAACTCCAAAGCCTGTTTCCCATTCATAGAATGGAAAAGCTCTATCATTACTCCCACAGGATTTCATAGAAGAAAGCTCAAGGAGTACAGATTTTGAAAGTATTTTGTACCATGAAGTGCTATAGAAATGCCAAAGTACTATCATTGCCAAATTTTGAAAGGAAGCTATTTCACAAAAATGCAACTAGATTATAAAATAACCACAATGGCTTTTTGTCCCTACACAGCAACTCAATATTTCACACCTACCAATAAAGATACTACTGTACTAGAGTAGAAGGCCAAGTCTTCTATAATTTCTGTGCGCCGGTTAGCTCCAATCCGTAAAGAACGACTGTGTACTTCTTCAGGTAACACTGTAAGGATCTCCAGCAAAAAAGGCAGTGAAGTTACATCATTGCTATATCTGGAAAAGAAAATGGGAAGATACAGCGTAAGTTATTTAAAGCCAGAAATTATACAGTCACAAAAAATAATAGCCCATCAAAACAGTTCAAGACCACAAAAGCGGAACTCCCACTACTGTTAAGGAGAAGAGAAAAAAATATAATCTTTTACACATAGATACAATCTTTTGGAAAGACACCTGGAAAGCTCTTCCAATCGAAATTTCAAGTCGCAAAATCTTTGACTCAGCAATTCCACTTTCAGCAACCTAACTTTCAGAAAATGCTCAGGCAAAGACAATCTATAAAGGTGTATACTGCAATATTTTTATAACATCAAAACGGTGGGAACATATTAATGTCCTCCAACATTAGACAGAAGACCAGTCATTCAACAAACATACCTGTAGCTTTTAACAACAGAAATAACATCTGTATGTTGTAAAATGAAAAGACAACCACAATGTATTAAGTGAAAAAAAGGTATGAAACAAATTAAATCTGGCTGAATGTAGGAATATGGTTACAAAAATAACGTATTTATTTTAAAATACTTACAGAAAAGTAAGCGGGACTATATGACCAGCATTAAGAGTGGTTAATTATAAGATACAAAAGGCAGGGAAAGAGGACAGTGTCCATTTTATTTATTTATTTATTTATTTAATAATCATCTTAATATTAAGTTTTCCTTTAAAAAAAAAAAAAACTATCCATAAAGGCTTTAAGATACATTCTATTTGAGATTTAAAAATTATTTTTGAAGAAGAAATTCAAATGGCCAAAAAACACATGAAAAAATGCTCACCATCTCTAGCAATAAAGGAAATGCAAATTAAAACCACACTAAGATTGCACCTCACCCCTGTTAGAATAGCCATCATTAGCAACACCGCCAACAACAGGTGTTGGCGAGGATGTGGGGAAAAAGGAACCCTCTTACACTGTTGGTGGGAATGTAGACTAGTACAACCACTCTGGAAAAAAATTTGGAGGCTACTTAAAAAGCTAGACATTGATCTACCATTTGATCCAGCAATACCACTCTTGGGGATATACCCAAAAGACTATGACACAGGTTACTCCAGAGGCACCTGCACACCCATGTTTATTGCGGCACTATTCACAATAGCCAAGTTATGGAAACAGCCAAGATGCCCCACTACTGATGAATGGATTAAGAAAATGTGATATCTATACACAATGGAATTTTATGCAGCCATGAAGAAGAATGAAATGTTATCATTCGCTGGTAAATGGATGGAATTGGAGAACATCATTCTGAGTGAGGTTAGCCTGGCCCAAAAGACCAAAAATCGTATGTTCTCCCTCATATGTGGACATTAGATCAAGGGCAAACACAACAATGGGATTGGACTTTGAGCACATGATAAAAGCGAGAGCACACAAGGGAGGTGTGAGTATAGGTAAGACACCTAAAAAATTAGCTAGCATTTGTTGCCCTTAATGCAGACAAACTAAAGCAGATACCTTAAAAGCAACTGAGGCCAACAGGAAAAGGGGACCAGGAATTAGAGAAAAGGTGAGATCAAAAAGAATTAACCTAGAAGGTAACACACACGCACAGGAAATTAATGTTAGTCAACTCCCTGTATAGCTATCCTTATCTCAAGCAGCAAAAACCCTTGTTCCTTCCTATTATGGCTTATACTCTCTCTACAACAAAATTAGAAATAAGGGCAAAATAGTTTCTGCTGGGTATTGAGGGGGTGGGGGGGAAAGGGAGGGGGCGGAGTAGGTGGTAAGGGAGGGGGTGGGGGCAGGGGTGGAGAAATGACCCAAGCCTTGTATGCACATATGAATAATAAAATAAAAAAAAATAAAATAAATATATCACATGTAATTATCAACAATAAATAAATAAATAAAATAAAATAAATAAAAATTTTTTTTGAGGATCTTTTACATTCCACATATTTCTATAGCATTTAAGCTTTATTTAATTTTAATTTTTTTTTCATGGTGCTGGGCTTTGAACTCAGGGCTTCATGCTTGCCAGGCAGGCGCTCTACCACTTGAGCCATGCCTCCAGCCCTGTAGCATTTAAATTTAAACAAAGGTTAATAATATGTATTTCTATATTAACAATTTAGGGAAATAGATGACTAAATACTGACAACAAATTTCTCTGTGTAGCTTAATGGCAATTACAAATGCTAATATGCTGTCAATATAAATTACTTACTTTTCCACCAGTGTTTGTACACATCCCTTCCAGGAAGGCATCTGTAGGGCAAGGTCTGCTATTGCTAAAGCCAGCTGAATAAGGAGAGAGATTAAATGAATGAACAGAAGAGATGAATAGAGACAGGGTTCCCATGAATGCTAACTGGAAAACAGAAAGACTAAATTTCTTGCAATCAATGTGACAATTGAGACTGATACCTCCTTCTTCCCTTTATCCTCACAACTGTATACATAACACGTAAACTCTTCAAGGTTAGCTACAAATTGCTGGGATTTGAAGATTAACCTTTAAAAATTAAAGCAAAACAAGTAAAAAAAATTAACTAATAAAACAGATAGACTACAGATTTCTTTCAGAATATATCCATATACTTACTTTTATTTAGCAATACCACAGAACTTCATGGACACATAAATAATACTTTGCCTAAAGGCCAAAGCTACTGACAAAGTCAGACCTCTGACTCAGTTCTCAAGTAATGGATTGCCATTTCCCTTCCCTTTTCATTTCTCATCTTGAAGCCTTATGCAAAAGCCTCCTCTTCAAGGACACTCTATGGCAGACAGAGAACACGTGTACGTATTCATGGAAGCTTCCAGTTTTTCTTTCTAAGTATTTCCCTGTCTAAAGGAGAAAGACCAGTGCTCAGTTCAACATACCAGTTCATCATTTCCTGAGGCCACTCTGCCCAAAAAGGACTTTTTTTTTAAGGTAACTACATAGACCTCTGACCCAGCATAGTATAGATTTTTTTTTTCCTTAATCAACTACAATTTTAACAACAGGGGTCACATACATTCCAGCACATACCTCACCATCCCCAATTCTCATCTTTGAGTTAGTTTCAAACCTAATGAACTCAAAGATTAATGCAAAAGATTAAAATTTTTACTTTGATATACTTTTAAGCGTTATCCTAGCTACCTGGAAGGCTGAAATAAAGAGAATCATGATTCAAGGACAGCAGGCAAATAATTCTCAAGATTCGAGATACCATCTGCAAAATAACCAGAGCAAAATGGACTAGAGGTGTGGCTCAAACAGTAGAATGCCCACTTTGGAAGCAAAAAGCCCTCAGTTCAAACCCCAGTCACACCAAAAAAAAAAAAAAAGCAGTAGCAATGTGTCTGTAAGTTTAATATTATCTTACATTCTTAAACTTAAAGCCTAATGATGTTAATCAAAATAAGCTCGATAAATCCAAATGACCTTAAAAATTTTTCTAACGAGAAGTACAGGATTTACCTGTGTTACAATGACAGGTGATAAGTCTTTCAAGTTCTGGATATGGGTTAGCAATGAGTCCCTTAAAGAAGCATGAGAGTCCGTGGGGAGCTCATAAAATGAGGTCTGAATCTTCATTTTCATGGTCTGTGCAGCAAAATAGCATGATTCCACATCCTGACGGATCTGTAACAACTGGTCAGAAATCTCCCATGCATGAACCTGAAAGTAAATCAGAGCTATCTTAAGGAATGCTACTTTGCTAAATAATTTTAATGCCACACAACTTCAATACACACATAAATATATTTAGGTAAAAATACAACGAAAGAAAATCTGACAAGCTAAATTACCCACTAATTCAGTCAATACTTCAAACTACAATGCTGTAGGGTCTATTCAACAAAAGTATTGCCCAATATCTGACTCATCTTAGGAAGGTCTAAGATTATCAGGCCAATCAATAGACATAATCTTGAGAATCAAAATCATTAAAGTGTAGGGTAATCATTAAAGGATATCAAGAAAAATATGCAAACAGTTGCTACTAAAACTAAAATATCACTGTGTAACTTCTAAACTACCTATAAGTTACATTTCTACTCTTTTGCCACATAAATAAGTTTTGTTCATTTTGAGAACTGAGTCTGGAAGCTGGTTTAATATGCCTATATAGAAGTACATACTTCATATTGGTCTCTGTAGGCCTACATTTCAATTTTTAGTGCCTCATAAAACAGTAGAAAAGGTATCTTGGCCAAGTGAGTATTTCATATACTTCAATTATTTTCTCATGTATTTTTATATGGCATAGTTCTATACATGCTACTAAAATCATTTTCATAGAATCAAATAAACTTGTCTATAGAAATAACAACAACAAAAAGAGAATTCGTTTGTGACTATTAAGTAGTCACAATTATATTTTGAAAATACCTGAGGGAGAAAAATCATGCAGTACACAGTAGGCTATTCATTAATGACTGATAAATTCTAATTCAATTTTACATCCAACTGCCTTTTCATCAGAGAAGGTTAAAATTGACTAGCTATAACAGACTGAAAAAAAATTCAGTATCAATTCAGGAATAGAGTCAACTGTGAAGATCATATAGATTTGTTTGGGTTTTGTTTTGTTTGAGAAAAGATGTCACTATGTAGACAAGGCTGTTCTCAAACTCTCAATCCTCCTGCCTCAGCCTCCTACTGCTGGAATTACAGAATAAACCAATCCTAGCCTTCTATTCAACTTCTTTTATTTTTGGCACCACTTGAACTCAGAGCCTCACACTTGATAGGTACTCTTACCACTTGAGTCATTCTGCCAGTCCTTCTTTTTAGTGAAGAGTTTTTTTCAAGATAGGGTCTCTTGAACTATTTGCTTGTGATCTCCTTTTCTCTGCCTCCTGAATAGCTAGGATTACAAAGGTAAGCCACTGGTGCTGGCTCTATTCAATTTCTTATAAAGACAGAGCACTTCACAAGTAATACATAACTGGACTAGAGGTGTGGCTCAAGTGCCAGAGTGCCTGCCTAGCAAGCTAAAGGCCCTAAGTACAAACCCCAGTACCACAAAAAAAAAAGTAATATATAATTATTCCTCAAGATCTTTCCCAAAATAGACAACCAGCAACTCAAGATACAGAAAAAGGTAATATAAATGGCCTAAGCAAATTCCTAAAGTAAAGCAGAGGCAAGCGACAGGGTATCTAATAGACCCACAAACATAGGAAGAGCCAGGCAAGGTGGCGCACATCTGTAATCCTAGCTATTTCAGGAGGCACAGATCAGGAGGCTAGCAGTTCAAAGCCAGCAAATAGTTCTCAAGACTTTATCCTGAAAATACCCAGCACAAAAAAGGGCTGGTGGCTCAAGTAGTAAAGTGCCTGAGCATGAGGCCCTGAGTTTGAACCCCAGAACCACCAAAAAAATAGAGGAAGACCAAAAGAGCCAACAGGTATTCACTAAAAACTACATGCAGACAATATGAGGACTGCAGTTGAAAATGGAAGAGGTTTTGCCAAATCCAACAGCAGGTAAGTCTATAGAGGCCTACATAAGGTCTGAAGGGGGTCAAACAAGTTTAAGTTTCTTTAAAACCTTTAAACTGAAGAGTCAGAAAAGGGCCTCAAGCTGAGGAGAAACTGTTGTGAATGGGATCAAAATTATATAGAACAAGAATAAGAGAACTAAAGGAGTAAAAGGCGAGAACAAAGCTAGGAAATCTCAGAAATCAGGCTGCCGTAAGTAACAGGAAAGGAAGTCCCACGAAGATGGAAATATTCTTACCCTCACCATCCTCTAAAAGTTCAGAAAACTACGCTCACAAAAAAATAAGCAAATAGACAATCAAGGTCAAATGTCACCTACAGGTATGGGAGGGAAAAGAGAATAATAAACAGAGTAACACCCCTACCAAAAAAGGATTGAAAACACAGATCTAGCCTACTATTTCAAAAATTAACTAAACAACTTCAAAAAATAAATGAGCTGGAAACCAGTGGCTCACGTCTTTAATCCTAACTATTTGGGAGGCTGAGATTGAGAAGATCAAGGTTCTAGGCCAGCCCAAACAAATAGTTCTTGAGGCCCCTTCTCCAAAATAACCACAGCAAAAAAATGGACTGGAGGCATGGCTCAAGCAGTAGAGTGCCTGATTTGTCAGGTGCAAAGTCCTGCCAGGAGCCAGTGACTCATGCCTGTAACCCTGGCTACTCAGGAGGCAGAGATCAAGAAGCTCATGGATCAAAGCCAGCCTGAGGAAATAGTTCACGGGATCCTATCTCAAAAAAACCCTTCACAAAAAAGGACTGGTGGAGTAGCTCAAGGTGTAGGGCCTGAGTTCAGACTGCAAAGGCACAAAAAAAAAGAAGCATGAAGCCCCAAGTTCAAATCTCAGTCCCACCAAAAGAGGAAGGGAGGGAGGGAGAGAGGAAGGGAGGGAGGGAGAGAGGAAGGGAGGGAGGAAATCACGTTAGGTATGAAGACTATGATGAATTTCCTAAGTGTGACTAAACACATGAGATAATATCTTAAGAAGAAACAAAAAAAGAAAATAGTTTTTCTTTTTTGAAAAAGATTTTAAAAATTCAAGTAAATGACTACTATGGTTTGGATACAGTTTGTCTCCCTAAGGGTTCATGTGTTAGCTTGAATGGCAGAAAAAAACGGACTATGCTGGGTGCAATGTTAAGACATGGTGGGACCTCTAGGAGGTGGAGGGTGGGGGTAATGAGAGATTATTTCTGGCCCCTCGCCTCTCTCTGGCTTCTCATCTCACCATGTTATCTTTCTCTCTGACATGCTAGCCTCCATAATGGCATCCCCCTTGATGCTACCTGCCATGAGGTTCTCTATAGAGCCCAGCTAATGCCAGTACTATGCCCTTTGAACCACCACAATTATGAACCTAAATAACTCTTCCTTACACAGTACCTGACCTGAGGTATTTCACTATAGTAACAGGAAACAGACTAAAACAGTGACAAACTTGAAAAAAGGCAAAGAAGGTCAATATATACATAACATAACAGGAGTCACTGATGAAAATCTAACAAGGGAACAGAATGATTACCAAAATATAATTCAAGAAAATGTTCTTAGAATTGAGGGGGAAGGGTGGAGACAAGAAACTATACATAAAAAAAGCATACCATGTACCTTAGAATACTGACCCAGAACAATCAGTATCAAGACATATTCTAGTAATATAATCAATATACTTCAAGAAAAGAATAAAATGATTTGGACACTTAGATAAAAATAACAAGTGACTTTGACCACCAGAACACTTCATGGCAGAACAAAATGAACAAGGTGCTGAAGTTACTAAGAAAATATGATAAAGATTTTATATCCAGTCAAACGGATTTCCTTTTTTAGTTAGTTTGGATTTTTTATTTTGTTTTGAGACAGGGTCTTGCTATGTAGCCCAGGCTGGCCTGAAACTCACAATCCTGTGTTGGATTGATACAAGCATGCAGCAGGACACCTGGCTCTAACTTTCAATTATAAAAGCCACAGACTGTTATATACAAGAATTGAGATGATTACTCCCAGAGCCCTTCCTATTAAATACTCTGAGTCTAAACAATTGAACTTCATACAACCAAAATGACTAAAAACAGTGAGGCATCAACATAAGGACAGGTGAATAAATAAACTAGTTTTACAAGGACAACCAAAAGTAAACAAAGGAAGAAGTGTTATCTTAATGCTCACATGGTCTGACAGCTACAGTACAACTTAAAGAATGAGGAGAGAGTGTATGTAAAAACAATCTTAACTGTAGGCTGGGGCACAGTTCAGTGGAAGAGTGCTTGATTAGCATGTATGAGGACCTAAGTTTGATCCCCAGCATTACACATAAATAAATAAACTGTTTTCAGTATATATGTTGGTGTCAGTTATATTAATACTGTTTAATCTGAGGGTATTGAATTCAAATACGGAATAAAACAACTGAATAAATACGGAATATTCTAATTCTACCACTCTGTGTCCTTAACAATAAGGATCTTGGAATGGATGAAAATCCAGATGTAATATAGAAGGGTTTCAAATTAAAATCTTGTAGTGCTGAATTTGAATCAGAAATATCTGTATAGGGTTGGGGGTGAATGTCAGTGGTTGAGTGCATGCTTAGCAGATGGGAGGCCCTGAGCCTGAGTTCAATGCTTAGCAGATGGGAGGCCCTGAGCCTGAGTTCAATCCCCAGCACCAAAGAGAAAGACAGAGACAGAGAGAGACAAAGAAGTATCTGTATTGAATTCATCAGGTAGTTTATCTTTAAATAAATATTATTATGTGTCTATTATTTATATACCTGTTTATCCATATATATACATCCACAAATATACACAGTAAAATACACAATCTATATATATTTTTTATGTGTAATTCCCAAACACTAGCCACTGAAAGCCCTAAATACACTACCCCACCCGGTAACAATTTACACCCCTAGTGCCAACATTGTGCTCTTTAAATTCAATTTCCCACTAAAAGAAACCAGAGCCTTTTTTTTTTTTTTTTTTTTTGGCAGTACTAGGGTTTGAATTCAGGGCCTCATACTTACTAGGAAGGTGCTCTACCACTTGAGCCACTCCACCAGCCCTGTTTTGCATTGGGAATTTTCGAGATAGGGTCTTATGAACTATTTCCCCACGTTGGCTTTGGACCACAATCTTCCTGATCTTTGCCTCCTGAGTAGCCAGGATAAC